CAACCCATTGGCAGCGAAGGCGCCGGGCTTCTCAAAATAGAAAGGCCCACGCCGTCTTAGAAAAACCGTCAAAGAAGGACTACTAGTCAAGGTAATATTCTTCCAACTCTTGCCGAAGGGCTAGTGGCCGTGCCGACCGCAAGCCATATCCCCACTGCCTTAAGATTATACTGTGGATAGAGTTCGTCGACGACAGTATGAATAGTTGAACTAGCCTGGGCGGATGGCGAGCCGGAAGGCGAGGAGGAAATCGCTGATCGGCATTGGATGGCACACTCCGGATCGCCCCAGTATAACGGGCTTCTTGGGCTCTGTGAACAAGACTTGCCGACAACATATTGATCATATCTTAAGGCCCCCGAGCCCTGCTCGAGGCCACAACCAGGGGCTAATACAGGCAATCTTAACGAGAGGCCGAACCTCACCATGCGCAGGGATGGATATTGATGGGTTTGCCCATAGCTGTCTGCAGATGAGCTGCAATACTGTTGAAGTGCTGGCGGTCTGCATTGACCGCATACTTGCTTAAAGGATCCTGGTATTGTACACGGCGAAAGGCCTGGTACTGCCAGCTGTGGCTTGCTTGTGTACGCTGCTCCTCTCTAGCTAGCTGGGTCACATACTGGCTCATCTTCCGTTCTACACTACCACGTCAATGGAGGTTCTTTGACTTGGCGGGAGTTTGAGCTTCTCAGGCGATCTAGGAAGCTAATTCATCGGACCGCAGGGTCATAAGGGACATCCCTTCCCGCAAGGTTCGAAGAGGATTAATGAGCTTCTCTGTGCGGGATAGAAGGAGTCTTATGTCATTTATATTCTTGATATGAGAAGGTTTGCCGCACCTCGAGACTCCATGGCTGAAAACCCACTGAGGCTCAAGGTGACAGAGCTTTATTTTGAGTGTCTGATACACGGTATTCCCCGATTGTAGTAGCGACCATGTGTTCGGACTATCGGTGCAAATGGAGATCTCAAAGCAATTCGAGACACAATTGCCAGCCAACCATCAGCTATGAGCATTCTTCCATGCGCTCCGGACAGGAATTATAGAGCTTATGGCGGCACGGTATCGCCGAAGACTGCTTCCCTTGTTATATACACAGAGGGGTGCCAGTGTAGCCACCTACTTGGTGGATTCGTCTTCTGCACCTCAGAGCTCCTGATAAGAACGTGAGACCTTGGCTATTGCTTGTATTATGCAGCTTACGAACAAAACCTCGCTAAGATGATAGGGAAGAAGTCCCGAAAATCCCGACGCTCATACAAGCTCTTCAAACGCATCGAGCATAAAATCTCTCGTTATGTCTGTGGGACAACCTACTGAGCAGTCTGAAAGCAAGGAGTCCTAAGTTTCGAAGCATCATTCGGTTACGGTTGAAAATAGTCAACATATTACGCACATACGCATAAAATCGGTTGACCAGTTGGTCATGGCAACAACAACCATCGTCAGGTCCCAGCCACCGCTAACACGACCTCCCGGCCAGCTGCTCGTCATCGATACCTCTCAATCAACCTCTGAGCACCCGTGGCCGCCATACCGACACGCACGTGGCAATTCACCTCTTGAACGTCTGCCTACCGAGATCTTGCGTAAGTTGCAGTCGTCCTCGTTTTTTACATGCTGTGTCCCATTGCCAACACGCTATACAGAAGAAATCATAGATATAGTGGCTACGAGAAAGCCAGCCCTCGGGGACCGATCTCAACAATACAGCATACAGCCGCTTCTTAATACTTCAAAGATCCTGTATTCTGTCACTGTCCGCGCACGTTATGAGCACGTTACTATCCCCGACTCGCAGGTCTTCCGCAAGCTGCTCTCCGCCTTGCGCGGTAATCCGGGATTTGGTACACTCGTGCGGCGCATTGACTTCAGCTCATTTAACCCCATAATACTCTTCTCCTCGGCCAAGGAGCGCTTGAGCGCTGATAACCTGACACCGAGAACACTGATTCAGTGCTTGAACCTAACACCCGGGCTGCGCGAATTCGTTGCGCAAGAGCACATGGATGATGAGATAGACATTATAGTGCTGAGGAAGCTCTTTCACCACCTTTCTCATCTAACCGCATTAGACTTTTGTGGCTGCTCCTCGCCACGCTTCCGTACTGCGATGACGACATTTGCCAAGAGTATAACCGACAAGGATATCGCCTTTTCTGTTTCGCGTTTGTCACTGCACCGCTGCGACAATCTACCTTCTGCAGTTTTTGATCAACTACTACGTCGGATGAACGCCCTTACCCATCTCGACCTTGCCGGCACGAAAGTTTCTGACCAGGCTCTGCAGTCAATACCGCACTCGGGGCGAATAACGCATCTGAATTTGTCCCGGTGTAATGGTTTGGCAGCCAGCGCTGTCCTCAAGTTTTTGCAGAGCCATCCCGGCGTAAAAGATAGCCTCGTGGTCCTGAACCTTGCAGTTGACTTCCGTACTCGATGCGGGCTCAGGGGGAACGACCTCTCGCAACTGTTGATGGGCTTGCCACGCAGCTTACGGTCGCTAAACCTGAAAGGCAGCGAAATGGGCTCAGCACATATTCCACTCCTCCAGAGGCTTATGAAACATGTTCATGAACTCGCGCTGGGACGAGGATTGACAGTCGCTGACTTTGAGAAGCTATTCGAGGCGAATCCTCGGTTATCCGACCAGGATAAAGATACTCAATGTTGTACAACGCCACCAGCTTCCATCCTGTCACACACGTTGAGGTATCTTGATCTTTCCGATTATGTGGGTCAAGAGCTCGACCTGGGTGCTCTGTTCTCCCCCGAATGCAGTATCATGCAAAACCGTTCGGCCCCCCTTTCCGTAGTCGAGGTTGCGGGCGAATTGTTTAAAGGGCTTTCCAGGTCCTCTATCCCAATCAAATTCGGCTGGACCGTGGTCGAATCTGGGTGCCGAACTTGGATCCAAAGGCAACAAGGCGAGATTCTCCAGGGCTCTAATGACTTCAGCTGGAAGATGGGAACAGGGAATTGGGGTATGCGCAAGATTCCCGTTGTTTTCGGAGAAGTTTGTGCTATGTACCGTAATTATACTTTTATGCGGGGCGTTTGAAAATAGAAGATATTAAGGCTGTATGGAGCAGCAATGATTCTGCAGCGATTAGCTCCAGCCAGCTTGGGTCTGAGATGAGGGGCTCTCCCGCTAGTGTCCGGGAACTAACCTATGGTACGCACGAACTGGACGCATGTCGCTATCGACTGACTGGTTAAGTAGTGCACATGGTGAGAGGAGCCTCGAAGGGCTGCCTTGTGGCATCGATGGGCCTCCTCAGTTCCGCACATCATAAGATGAAGCCAGTAAGATGGGACACCAGAGAACTAAAGGCACGCAATTCCACGCGGTTAGTTCGGAGAAGCACAGCGTGCTTCACATTCTTTTAGGATAAAATGCTACCATCGCGCGAACGAAGGATTGATATGACACCACACACCAGAGGGCAACAACGAGGGGAATCTATCAAGCAATTCAGGGAAACTATCTGGCTATTCTTAAGGACTCCTTTCCTTATATTTCTATATCACATACAAGTCCCGCTTGCGTTAGAATGCTTACAAGCTCGCCACCCAATATTCTTCCATCAGCATTTATCCGCTTCCGACCTCCACATGCTATTGACCAAATCCTCTCCGTCGCTATCCAGCATATAGCCAATAGCAAAAGTGTTCTCTGCTCCCGTTGTCCCAGCTACAAATAAGCCACAGTTATTTGTGATGTGTTCAAAGGCCCGCTGAACTTCGTCCGCGGTTATTCGAAGAGTTCGATCTCCCTTTCTATCATCATTGTTTACGATGAAAGCCATGACGTTGTGATTGCGCTCGATGATGGATTCGTGCGGTAAGATTGGGCGGCCAGGGTCTTCATAACTCTGCACCGCGCCAATCAGGGCGTTAACGGCCGCACTAGTGGCGTCGTGATCAAGGTGGCGGTCGCAGCCGCAGGCCCTGTTCCAAAAACCCCCGGCTCTTGGACGGATGGCGTTGTCGTCCTGGCTCGGACCGTCCTCTTTCTTGTTCATGCGAATAGCCTGTGATGCAGTGACAGCTGATATATGCACTTGCGCTACAGACTGCGTTGCAGCCATTGCAGTTGTGGCAGCAAGAAGGAGCGCACGCTGGTAAATCATCATATCTGAAACAGGTTTCTCTCTGTGAGGGGTAAAAGGTGGTCTCCTCGTTTTGCCCCAAGTAGCCAGTAGATCTATATGTGTCTATCTTGGGTCGGACCGGCAATATCACGTCATAACTGAGAACAGGAGGTGGTCCTTCCCAATATGACTAGCATAGTCCGATGCGATTATTCAATCCTTCGTCGTGACAAACGAGCACGCGAAAAGATGTTCTTCGGTTATTGTAGGCCTGGAGAAAATAGCTCACGCGATACATGTGTCTGGAGAAGTGCAAGCGTTAAGACCAGGAAAATGGAGCGTTGCAAACGTGTAACAATCAGTTGCAAATAACATAAATACCACCAACGCTTCACTTGTGACGGCGGGTGCATGAAGTCGGACCGACATCACACGGACTTTGTTCGAGTGATTTGTTATTCATTAGCACGCAGTACATAAAGAATAACAACGCAACTAAGACATTGGTCATGCGATGAGCAGGCAGCCTTCTTCCGTTCTTAGTCAGATAAACTAAGCGTATTTGTACGCCTGGTTGCGACGTACTCCCCGAGGGTCAACTTCACGGCTGGAACACCGCACAACTACCATATTCATCGTCTACGTCTTAACAACTACCCATCGGCATAAAAATATCGAAAATGTCAGCGCTGACTATCATGGGGGCCATTGGGCCTTTTCAACTCCCGCTCGTCGTGCAGGCTCATGCGCTGCTCATGGTGGTCATGGGGGCTAGATCCCTTCTTACATCCCCCCAACGGCCAGAAAAGCTTCCAAGCCTGAAGATACAGCCAGATAAAACGGATCACGATCGCTTCCATGAGGTCACTGTTATACCCAGTGATGTGCCAGGAGACAACGGCGATTCCGGCATGGAAGGAATTCTCTCCTGTGCCCTTGGACTGGCTTATTTCATGACCTCATACATGCCACCAGAGCAAAATCAATTTTTACATGCTAGTGTCCCTTTGCGAATATTGCTTGCTTTATTAGCAGGGGGGAGACTCTTCTACATGCGAAACTCACGGAGCAAAGCTGGCCGAACTATGTTACTCGTGCTTGTCTACGACGGCATCGGGGGTGTAGCCGTAGGAATAAGTATTCGGAACTTCACCGGTCGAGTTTAAAGATAAAGGATATGTCGCCACTGGTGATCGGCTGCACGCAGTCGTTGATCCTGGTGGCATCGCGGGCAAGCCGGTGGGGCAAAGTACAGTTCTATCCTTCAAGTGCGTGGAGAACAGATAGCAACACGAATGGCTGAATGAAGAGAGCCTGCAGGCTGGGAAACGTATTTATAAATTGAGATACATAACAACAAAGCAAGCGTGTTTGCTTACGTGGGCTCGACCATGGAGTTAAGTACTGCCTATGAATAGGTATTACTAGGGAAAAGATATGGTCCCTTCAATGTCGTTATATATGGTGTATACCTGGAAGGAGCTTGACTGGAGAACATCGCTATTCGACTTCAACATAGACAATCACAAACACAGCGCGCAAAGCCCTGCTCCCACCATGCACCAGCCAACGGGTACTCGTCATCTGGCATCGATACCTTCGACCGATTCTCCTGACGGCAATGAGACGCAGACTTCGCTGTTTCAGGCAGTCCAGGGGGATCACGACGCTTGGGTTCGCGCTCTAATCAACGACGGCGCAGACGTCAACGCTCGAAGTGCGGCTGAACTGTCTTATGAGAACTGGCTGTTATTGTTAGGGGACCCTGACGCAGCAAAGGCCACCACCGAAGATTCAGTGTCGGAAGGTCAGTTCTGGTGGGGAGAGACACCATTATTGTGGGCAGCTCTAAGCGGCAACGCGATCATTGTTGAAATACTTCTGCGGGCGGGAGCAAGCATTGATGCTCGTGGCCGCGGATTTTGCACTCCTCTCCTGTGGGCGACCATCTGCGGGCATCTGCCGGCCGCCCATCTTCTACTTAAGCATGGCGCGGATGTTAACGTTCAAGATGCCGGGGGGCGCACTCCACTGCACTGGTCGTCTAAGAAAGGGCACACAGCAATTGCCCAAAGATTGCTTGAATTCGAAGCAAAAGTCGACCTCAAAGACGCACAAGCTCAGACTCCATTGATTTGCGCAGCGAAGAACGGTCATAAATTAACAATGGAAGTCTTGATCGCTAAGAATGCTGCGTTAGAGGCACGGGATACATATGGAAGAACCCCGCTTCTATGGGCCGCTTCCATCGGAAGCTTGGATGCGGTCGACACGCTTCTCGAAAGAGGATGTAATGTGAATACGTCCGATATACTGCATTGGACTCCTCTTGGATTGTCAATAGCGCCTAAGTACGATATGGGAAAGATGGTCGATTTGTCATCCGAGTCCAAAGAGGTCATTCGCCGCCTCATCCGGTGGAGGGCAAATGTTAACTGCACCAACATCCACGACGAGACCCCGTTGCTTTTGGCAGTTCGGCGCGGACATTCCGACATCGTAGTTATGCTGCTTCGAGCCAGAGCAGATCCTAACATTACAGACCTCGAAGGATCGACACCTCTCATGGCGTCTGCCGCGATTGGCAGAGTAGATATCGCGAGAAATCTCCTGGAATCCGGTGCCATGGTTACAGTTGAGGACCGCCACTGTCGCTCCGCCCTAACGATTGCCTCCGATAACGAAGATCTAGCCATGATGGAACTTTTACTAGACCATGGTCCTAGCGTTGATACGAAATTCATGTCAGGTCGAACGCTTCTACACTGGGCAGCCATAAACTCCGACTGCGTAATAGCAGGGGCTCTGTGCGCTAGAAAGGCTGACATCGACGCCGTTGAGGATCACACGGAGTATACTCCATTGTTCTATGCGGTCAGGGAGGGCACCATTGACATAGTTCGAGTGTTGCTGGCGCATGGCGCCAGCCTCGAGGCCAGAGATCGAGATGGCAGGACTGTACTCTTTCACGCAGTGGGTCGAGGGCATCAGACAATCACGGAGTTGCTATTGGAGCACGGCGCTGATGTGATGGCAGTGGATGGAGATCAGCAGACAGCCCTTTATCGAGCTACCAAGCACGGAGATAAAGCACTCGCTATCTCGCTGGTATCACGCGGCGCTGCGTTAGACCGCCTGTAAGGCAATTATAGTCGCGCTCCACTTTCACAAATGATCGAGGAGTATCCTGTCGCTATCGTCCGTGTGAAAGGGGACATGGGAGTGAACAGTGCAAGAGACTATTTTCCGGTATAACAGAAGAACGAATAACTTGAAAGGCCAAGGTTGAGGAAGCCTCAGGGCTCTGGTTCCGGAAACGGCACTACTGAACTAGACTCGGTTGAATTATGCTATGGCCGCTAGGCAAGTACGTGTAGCAGGTCCCGTTGCCCGTTTTGCTTCATATGTCATGTCTGAGAGTTGAGAGAAGCCGAACGTAAAAGATATCTCGAGTTTACGTCACCAGTGAGATAGTCGGTAGGCGCGCCCCTGATATAACTCCCCCATCAGCCCTGCACCCACGAGGTGGTTTTTTCGCCTCTCTGTCACTGAGTATGGGTGAAGACTGGATAAGACTTTTCTGCGGGCTTTTAAGCCTCTGCTTTGTACCGTTTTATGGGTACTTTGCATACTTCATCTTCGACGAGCTTATGCCTTTCCATTTGTCGAGATCGCTGCCCCAAAGTCATTATGCGCCTCTTGCGGTTTTTGGGTGCTTCATCTATGCATCCATATACGCAGCTGTAGTTTCTTTACATACTTCAGCTCCAGGTTTCACGGATTACAAGTGCGTACCAACAGATATCAGAAATTTCGCGCTTTTAGTTTTCTGTCACTCTTATTCACGATCACTGGCGTATGCGCTTCGGCTCAGGGAATGGTATGGTTTATTTATATCACGATTAATCCGCGCGACGATGAGAACCTACCCTCTATTTATTGGCAGTGCCTTGGCTCCGTTAGCTCTCTGATGGTAGGGCTCATCCTGAATGCTACACTGTGCGCTGTTGTTTGGGTGCAGCAAAGGGGACACGCTCCCAGGTTACACTTTATAAGCCAGTTTAAACCACACGAAGAGGATAGAGATTAGACTTTTTGCGCGCAATAAAATACTCCAGCAGAGTCTCGCTGGGTTTTAAGGGACAGCTCAAACTCTGAGATTGGACAATGAACCTATAAATGCCTGGTAGTCGTATCTGCCAACCGGACGTAGAATGTGGCTCAAGGTAACGTTAGAGCGAACCCATCAAGCTCTTATTGTTTTGCAGAGAGGTGGCTATACAAACAGTGACAAGTGGTCATCCGTACTCAAGGGCGTAGTGGAGGTCGCTCACAGTTTCTCATTCTGGAAAGGAGTCAAGTCCCTATCCTGGTGTTCAGTCCCTCCGCCATGTGCTTGACGTAATATATCAGGTCAGGGCAAGATTCACGCTTCATTGCCAGATATAACTGTCGTTCTGAATCTTCCTACGAGCTGGTTGTACTTACAGAGATCACGCTTCGCAATGAAATCGAACCTTCGCGCCTTCCTCCATGTCCTCCTCATGCTCCCGCTCGGGGCCATCGCACAAAGCAACATGCTTCAGAACCAGAGCCATAGCAGAAAAAGAATTGTTCTTTGGGATCCAAAGAACAGTGAACAGATTGAACAGTTCCCAAGACTCAAGACGAGTGCGGAAGAAATTGCCCGTTCTCCAAGCGTTTCAGGAGCGTTGAATTGGCATCTCACGCGCCCAAAAGAACTTCCCGCAGATGTCACCTTTTATCCTATGCTTCGAGTCATTAACGGTACCGATTCATGGCAGAAAATGATTGAAGAAACAGTCGGATGTAGTCGTATTATACATTTCCTTAACGAGCCAGAGCGAGCCGGAACCCTCATAGAAGCTGCTGTACGAGTGTGGCGCTCTCACATGCTTCCATTGCGCCAAAAGCACTGCTACAAGCTAGTTGGTCCGGGTGTCGCGAGTACACCTGAAGGGAGCGCTTGGCTTTCCGAGTTCATGCATCAACTCGAAACGGACGAATGGCCCGATTTTACGGGCATACATTTCTACTCAAGGAAGGATCTCCCTGTGGCAACTGAAGTGGAGGCTGCGAAAGAATTTTTAGCCACGAGACAGTCGCTTTACAATCTTCCTCTTATCGTCAACGAAATGGCTTGTACTAGTCGCAACAAGGATGATGTAATGCACTTCACGAAAGAGATGGTTGCGTATATGGATGCAGATCCAAGCGTTGCTGGATATGGCTTTTTTGGAGCTTCACTGGCACCTGTGGACAACTTTGTAAGCCCAGAGGCCCAACTGCTAGATAGTTACGGCGATTGGAATGATCTCGGCAGGATGCTGCTGGCGTAGGTACGGCAATCAGCCGCTTCCTGCGAGAGGATGGATAGGGTGATAGTGAAGGATATCCGAGTATAATACGCATACTAGTGACAGGTTATTAATCTAGTATGTTTCCTTACTCCGGTTACGACCTAATAAGTGATCCAGTGTATTATGATGAGCTTCCAGTGACGTACTCGTTCCAGTAGAGCGCATGACGTAAGGCAAGCAAGATGCATTGCTCGACTTCTGATAATAGCCGCCTCTCTGCATCACATTACTTGCTGTCAATGTAGCACCTTGCGCACTTGACCACGCTATCTGTGAGCTCGGGAGGTCGTCCCTTCCTATCGACAACGGGCCGGTTGCACCTGGGGCGTTCATTCAACGGCTCCTGCTGCAACTTGATTTATGAAACAAGGCCACATCTCGTAATCCTAGGGTCTCCGTCCGCAAGTATGATAGATCGACTGGATGGTCAACTTGGATCGGTTTTGATGGTGTAAGTCATAACACTTGCGTAAAACTGGGGGTTGTTCTGATTTGACCATAATTATGACCCATATTGATGGTTTCGGATTCGAGCATTTCATTGTTGCTATAAGAGCAAAGATACATGCACCGCCTTGAACACAACAAATCAAACGCGATGTCCTTTCTCAAGTTCCCATGGAAAGAGCCCACTGACATTCTCAGGGGTTGTCACATATTACTGAGTCTGATTGTTATCGCGCTCCTCCTTCCGATTGTCACAAAAGAAGAATATTCAGAGTCCGGTGTAGTGTCGTTGAATGTAAGGAAACCTTTATACGTGTTGGGGCCATGGGGATATGCTGACCAATGTAGTTCGACAACTTCAAGTTACGTCGCGATATGTCTGCTTCCATTGCAGAATTCCCACACCAGCTAGGCGCTATCGGCGGTCAAATTGCCAATTTGCCTGCCCAGGCCACTGCCGTTGTCGCATCTGCTGGGGCTCAGGCCACGTCCGTGGTTCAGGATCTTACAGGCAATGCGATGAACGCTACAGTTGCGGCCCTGAGCAATTTCTTGCACAAGAACTACACTCTGGGGACAAGATATGGTTGTGTAGACACTGAGTGTAGTAGTGTGCCAATAGTCACTGCGATTGCGGGTAGTAGCTTGGGATTCGCTTTGATCTCTTGCTTCACGGCTCTCGCCCCTCAGAGATTCCCTTTGGTGGGATGCGTATCGTTAAGTTTCATGGTATTTTGTCTTTTCGCATGTATGGTGTTGGCAGCATGCTCGCAATCGGTCTCGAGTATCGGTAGTTTGGTCACGCAGGTGCTAGGCTTTGGTGCTTTACAGATGGGGGAAGTGTACCCGCTATCATGGGCCTCATTCATTGTGTCCTGCTTGGCATTTGTCGCCCGAGTTTTGTCACTTTCACCAATCTTGTAGTTACTGGAAGAACCCAATCACCTAAAGACGCGGAAGACAAGTGGTCAGGCTGTGATGACGAGGAGATATACCCCCATATATGATGATGAGCCATTGAATTGATTGTAAGAATGACCATGCACTTACTCTACCTTGTCTAGCAGCAGCGGCTTTTATGAATACTTTGGTTCAAGCAGGAGAGCACTTCCCATGGCAATCACGCCATTGAGCATGAGTCAGGATCGGGTCTCGTTATAAGCCTCGGACTGAGCGGCGCCGCTTTTGCTTTCGTGGTTCTTGTGGCACAGGTGAAGAATAATGGCAGCACGATACTTCCCGTATTGTCTTCGATATGCCGGGCCAGCGCTCATCTATGCCTGCCCCGGGTAATTGCGGGTCCAAGCATGTAGGCACGTAGGCACGTAGGGAGTTGTATATGTCATGCCTCAAGGCAATCAAATACGGCTATGGATTGAAGGCCTTAAATGTGCCGACCATAGGGCCGCAGGGAATTGAAGTGCGCTGCTAAAAGGCGTATCGAATCGCCAGCGGCAGTCTTATCCCTTTATCCTGAAGCTATCTCCGGATGCAAATGAGGGACGGGTTGTTTCATGCTTGGGTGAACGCAGTGCTAACCTAGATGAGCCCAATCATAGTTATATCCATGGGAGGCCGGTTCTGGGCAGCCGCACGCATGCGCATTGTATTGAATTCCCCGACAAGACCTTGGGTGTTTAGCAGGCTAGATCCTCCATTATTGCGAAACCCAAAATGTTCGGCTCTTTGAATATGGTCATCGGCGCACCGCCACGAATATCTTTCGACAGCAGTATATTCGACAGGCAGGATGAACAGAATAACGACGTTGACTCCCATGACTTCTAAAGGTTCATCCAAAGACGCCTACTAGCCAGAAAGGCTCATACGGTGCTTTCGACTATTTGCCAAGTAGTTGTCGTCGCCGTCAAAAGGCTGTCGCTCGGGGCGGAACCTTCTTGCCGACGCGACAGCAGAGTGAGACCACTATATCTTCGTAGATCTAGCTAATCTTACGATCTACGATGCCCACCTTTTGAAACTGAATCAACAGCAGAACTGCTATTACGTGAGACTGCAGGTGCGATATTAGTGAGGCCTCCACCAGGCTCAGTCGCTGACATGTTTCTTATAGGCTATTTATGATAAGCTGAACGAGCAGTATATCTTTCTCACGCGAAGTGGTATCGTTGGCCACACTGGGGAAGTGCTGTTGTCAGAACGTTGCGGTCAGAAGGAAACTGTGCAAAGCTTTGAGGCGATGTTTTGTCAGCTCGCAGGGCAGGGATGGCGCGTTAGATCCAGCGTGAAGACGTGGTGGCTCGACGATGAGTATCATGTCGTCGACCTGAACTACACGCGGAGGCAGGGAGCCTTCCACGTCGACCTTCCAAACTACGCTGAGTTGGATGTGCAAGTTAAGCCTGACATCAAAGACTTGATTACATTGGTCCTGTATGGCAAGAAGGAGGACCATAACGACATTGAAGAAGCCGAGCAGTATATGCCTCATCTTCCGACTGCTCCTTATCGACAGCTGGGCCTTTGGACGATCTATGGCGGCTTCTACTTACTGAAGCGGATTTTCCACCTCTTACGGAGCGGGAAGCCCTTGAGATGGAAAAGTTTATGGAGAGCTACGTCAAGATACCGTTGCGTCACTCCCCATTATTCGGGTTCAGTAGGATTGGCGCCGGTCATTGGCAGCCAATGTGCTATATTGATTGAACTCAAGCTCCTCTACGCATTGTGCCCCAAGCATCAGGAGATCAAAAGTCTCCTGAACACTGTGGCCCAAGAAGCCGAAGAGCAGAGACGGATGTTCGGGTCACTCTCTCAGCCTACGCGTCATATCTACTCTTGCCTCACGTACTGGTTCCGGCGGTTGACAGATCCAACAGCGGCAGAGCGGCGAGACATCTGCGGATACCTGCACGGCTCCAATCAGCCGGCCCATAGAAATCGAATCGATGGTCAGGGGATCTATACACTATCCATAAAGCCAAACTCGCCGAACGACTATCAAGATTGGCTACATGCCCGTGAGCTGGCACGACTTGAAGCTTATAGGGACGATGGATCGACAGCAGGAACAGCGGCACGCCATCGGATCGACACGAAACGATTGCTGCTTTGGCACGAGAATCCCATGCACAACGTCATCAGTATCCCTGAGACAGGTCTTCGCACTCGACCTCCGAACTGCACAGCCAGGCGGACAATGTTTGGGAAAGCAATATACCTGGCTGATGCGTCCAGCAAATCGGCCAACTACTGCGGGAGCCACAATGGCGAAGGGGCGGTCCTCGTTCTGTGTAAGGCCGATCTGGGGCGAGAGGGAGTGATGCATGAACAGTGGTATCGAGGTGGCGATATAGTGATCCAAGACAGGGACAAAAAGAAGGGATGTGTGCAAGGAGTGGTTCAACCAGCTAGCAGTTTGGAAATCAATCAGCTGGCGTATTGCAGCTGCGCCAGCAACATCAGCCGCGGAAGTCGAGATGGTGAGTTGTTAAACTTCGCTATGAACTTGTTAACGTAAGTTCGACTAAATCGTCACTAATTATAGCCTACTCCTGCGACATACCAGGGGAGCTAGCGGCAAACACGAGGTCTTCGCTATAATGAATGCGCGATGAAGAACAAATGGTGTTTAACCCTGCGCTATATGGCCAGGGCGAGGATTTGGAAAGTCGTCTGTAGGACGAGAGTAAGATGATGTGACGGGGCACACCCGGGAACCACGAAATCGAGAAGTCTTTGAACGCGTGCGCTGCTTTCGCCATCAAGCCAAGACAACTTAATCGCTGGAATGCGCAATTCTTATGATGTTTACGAGACGTAAGAAAGCCTCTTCTCCTCGTGAGCGTACCTCTTTTCATAATGTGCGTGCCTATTTGAGAACTAAGTCCACTCCAAATACATCAGATCACAGTACCTATGTCACTTTATGTAAGAGTAATGTCGACATAGCGAATGGTACTGCATTATCGCATAGGTAGAATGGCATTACACGCGAGGTGACGGGCTTACCAGTGCTGTACTGTAGGTGCGTACGTAGGAAGCAGCCTGTGCAGGACTAGCACCGACTGCGGAGCGTAGAGTTAGCTACGAGGTGCGCACGCAGGAGGCAGCGTGCGCAGGCCTGGCTTAGAGGTGCGTACGCAGAGAACAGCTTGCGCAGAGAACAGCGTGCGCGGGACTGGCTGGAAGGTAACACTCGAGCTAGAACAAATTGCGCACGCAGAGCTAGCTTGGCGAAACCCCAAGAGGTTGGCCATTAGCGAGCAAAAGCTGGATCCAAAGTCCGCGTTCAGCGAGGAGCGCAAAGCATAGTTTGTGGTACGGCTTAATGTTACGTAGATGGATCTGTGAGCGCGGCTGCTCACAAATGTCATCGTTCTGCAGTACTTCTTGTAGCGCGTGACTCATTTGCAGCGTGCTCTCATCTCATCACCACCACCATCTTCCGCGCGATCAACAACTGAGCTAGTACCCAAGCAATCGCACATGCGTCAGATAGCCGCCGAACACAATCGCCGTTGGCAGCACAATGAAGCGCTCACCAGGTCCAGCTTCGGCATAAGGTCGGTTCATATGATAGCACTCACCGGGGTATGCCTGAAGAGGGGCGGCGCTAATAAGCTCCAAAACCAGCTCACAGACCTCTGCATAGGGAGAATTTTGGACCCTTCCTCCATGGCTTTGCTCGGTATCTCACCATGCTCGTGTCATTCACACAAGGAAGGGAGCAAGGGAAATATTGTTGGCTACTTTGTAGCACCGGGATTGCCTTGCTTATGATCTTGCTTATCAACTCACTGGTCAAGAGGAACGAACGCCCCACGCAAACAGAGCGAGTAGAGGGCCATGAGCGTGGACCGATTTCCGGCGCCGGTGACAAAAGTGCGCGGCCAGTAACCCCTCGCACGAGGCTATGAACACGTATCTCGTCTGGACAAGCGAGAATATGACCCGGCACGACACGACACGACGATCTACCACCGCCAATTGATCTCGCTCAGCAGGGCTGATACCACGGGCCCGAGACCCAAGACCAGCACAATTGTCGTGATACCCATGTTGTCGGCCACGGGGAACAGTGACCAGGCCTCCTTAAGCGGGGTGCCGGGAAATGCCTACGAGCCGGCCGCGTGGCCGGCTCGGAGGGCGGTGAGAAAGGGGAAGATGAGGGCGCGGATCTTGCGGGCGAGGATCCATTCCGTCAAATGCAACATGCATGTGGACGCGCGCTAAGAACCCCGTTCGACAGGGACTTTTTGAAGGCTACTGCAGGTAGCTAGGTCCAGGGGGTTGGTGCCTTGACACATGTATGACGCGCCCGGGCCAAGCAGGATCCAGCTGTCTACATTAGCGCTATTTTGGAAAAGCGTCACGTGCGGGCCGTACCGAACTGTCGGGACCTGCCTAGCTATGCGATTGGGTAGTTGCCGGTGGCGATGACAGGGGTTAGAACAAGAGTGGCGCAGAGCAAATTCTGATAGACGCCAGCTTTTCAGAGCATTCACCGACGAGGGCTGAAAGCAGCGCTCCCCTCATGTTGACCCTTTTCAATACCAGTGCGATCTCTCTTTGATACGACTAAAATGAGTTCATCAGAGGTAACCTCCTTTGATTCAAACACACCATTAGATGAAGCCTCTGCAATTGCTTTTTCCTTTTTCTTGCATCTGTCTGAGTCCGGCCCGCGCCTTTTCCTGCCATGCCGTCACGTCGTCGATCTGATCTTCTTTGCTCGTTCGTAGTTGATGATGTTTGAGGTAGAGTATCGTCAGATGGTATTGCAGCTGGCGAGTACTCCGGCATGACATTTACGGATATGTCATTGACGCCTGAATCTGAATGGTCTGCACTGCCCAAACTGTTCTCTGCTTCCATAGTTGGCAAAGATGTTTGATCGAGGGGATCGTCCGTATGATGCGAAAGCGCTGTACCTGGGTTGGGCTGTGGTGCCATGGAGCTAAATACGAGATCGAGATCAGAACTCGTGGGAGGGGGAGACCCATTTGCGTCACTGAAGAAGGTACTCACTTACAACTTGTGAATGGCCTTAAGAACCGTCGCCACATTCTTCGCCGACTTGAGATCCACCTCTGCGATTCTGCCACTCAGTATTCTAGACTCCTCTGACGATTCTTGGTGTTGTTGTTCCACACTAGTGCAGGTGAGCATTGGATCTATAAGGCTGTCAAGCCATGAAGCCAGGCAGACCTACACTCGCCCGAGATTTTCCAGTAAAATTCTAACAGCGTCGACCTTCCGACCAATTTGAGCAAATCTTTCATGTGAGGGCGGTGTCAGTGAGATGCACAGTGCGAGCTCAAATTTTTGCGTGATCACTGACCTTCTGTCGAGCTCTCCAATAAGACCGCTGGGTCTGACTGACATTGCAGCTGACGATGATTGTTGAACATAGTCTAGGGGATCAATTTCTCCTAGGAAATACCCGTTGTTGGGTCGTGATTGACCGGGATCGACACTTGATGGTATCTGGATTTGCGAGTGGACTTGCTCGGGCGTGTGCTGCTGAGCCTGTTGGGCCGGTTGAGGCTGCTGGTACAGCTGCGGCTGCTGAGAGGACTGGGTGGACTGCGGCTGTTGAGAGTGTTGTAATGGCTGCGACTGTGGCGATACCTGAGCGTGCTGTAGCTGCTGAGCCTGCGACTGCTGTGGCGGCTGAGCGTGCAGCGGTTGCTGTGACTGGGATTGCTGGAATAACGGTGAGTTTTGCATCGTCTGCATCGGTTGGAACTGGGGATGTCCCCGGGGCTGCTGAAAGGGTTGCATCGCCTGGTGCGGGGCAACCATGGTCCGGGCACCGATGTGGAGTAACGACGGAAATCTGGTATGTGTTCCTCAAGCCCTCGAATGCCTCTCTGCTGCCAGCTCCCTTTCAAACACTCTTGGACGGGTGATCGAATTTATATGCAATGCATTCACTCAGTCGACCTCTCAATCTGGCTTGTTTGCTATCGCGATAATTGTCATGATCATGCAGGCAAATGTTGGGTCTAACATGTTGGTTGTGCACGCTAGTAAGGGAGTGAAGCAGCCAGAAGTGGCCTTGCTCCATGACCGGGTGGCGTGAGAACCTGGTCACAGACATGGGTGCCCTTGCCCATGAGCAAAGCGGAGGTCCGCCAAAACCGAGCATGCCGTGCCCGGACGCCTCCGCCAGTATTTGTGCGATATGCGCAGCGCTCAAATTGGTGTAAGATTGGTCCTGTACTGTAGCATCCTTTTAAAGAAGAACAAGGAGAACAAGCGTAAAGAAAGGGAAGCACGGAGGCATTGATGCACTAGTGAATCAAGCACTAGCTTTGCCATGCCCATACTCTCAAGCACCGTACGAGGACAATGCAGGGGGGGGGCGGTTGAATTTACGCAACTTTTTGCGCTGGCCTCCACCAGGTCATTCTGTGTGGAGATGCACAGCGATTGACATAATAGTGGATCGTGCGGCAAACACCGTGTGCGCAACCCATTCTCCCACGAATACGTAAAGCGTTCACCTCATCGGCTGATGCCGTGCTTGACAATATTAGTGTCGGCTCCTGTGCCAAGTGCAATTGGGGCAGCCAGCATTAGGTACACTCTTTGGAACGACGCCTTTGACCCGCTCGTATCAAAGACGGCGGCATCTTAGGCGAGACTTGTACGATATGTCTGAATGAGAAGGGCCAGGAACGGCCAGGAACCACCCGGGCGTCACTGGTTATCGCCATACTAGATGACTCGCGGAACTGACGACCCACAATTCGGGCTGTGGCGCCTGGTATCGTCCGAACAATGTCCTTCGAGGCAAGGGCCAATTCCACCGAAGTCCGGCTCGATTTGCCTATGGGGGACTAGTGGCTACGAGCCTCGCAAGAATAGCAAGGACCAGGCCAGCACACCCAAAAAGTTCCAACGTGGTCGAGAGCGGAAGTGCCAGAAAGGAACCACTTCTGGGGCAATGGTCTCTGCCCCCAGTCTGAGGTGTGGGTATCAGGCGGGATAGTACCGTAGTCATGAATTATTGGCGAAGATGACGTGTTGCCGGATGCACTGACGATTCGGAAAACTGCGCCATCGCGGCACGAGATCCACTACTCGTCGGCTGGTGGCAGGTGGCGCTATTAACTTCCACGCTTTCGAGCCACCTCCCTCCCACAACGGGAACCACAAAGTTCTGTCACTGGCACTCGTCCGGTCCTCCGCGTGCGGGCCGTTTATGACCGCCCAGAGACTTGAAAATCCGATTGAAGACGCAAAGAGGAGCTCACCCCAAGATGGTCCGGCGCGCAGCATTGCTAAGCCGGATGGGTACAGTAGTGACCACTAAATGTGTCCGCTTTTCTAGCACTAAAGAACGTTTCCGCACAGACCAGCATGCTGTGGCGCATTGTGGCGCATACCGTGCAGACTGATCCATAACAATTACTCTCCAAAAGTGGATTACAGCATTACAGTACATACAACGGTTGGTACAAACGGAGGATTGTTTCTTCGTCGCCTTATCTGCAGGGAAACCCTTCACCCGCATGTGGATAACATTGTATGGGGGGATGTCCATCGCACGGCGATCTTCGTATGAGATTAGCCGGTTGGTTCACAATCAGACTGCATTCGTCTGAGAGCCATATGGTGCAGCTGGAGAGCTCTGCTAACGGTTATAACTCGCCAGCCCATCCTTCATGTGGTTGATCTCTAACGTGAGCCTGTACTGTACTGTACGCAAACCTCACCGTGAAAGCTTGAGCAGACTGCGTGAATTTCTGCGCGCGCCGAAAAGAGACCAGGTGGTTCCCCCTCGGCTGACTCGTCTGAGGGGTTGCGGAGACCCGTGTTAGTGGACCTGATGGTGGCTGTTGACGAGAACCAACAACGGACCTCCCCCTCCCAGCACACGACCGGGGTAGGACAAATCGTCCAACTTGGGATGGGACCGTGTCTCGGCTCGTGATGCTTCTTGGAGAACTTGGGGTTGGCGGGACATCCCAGTCCAGTATCAAACCGCCACTTCCTGCCAAGTCTTCAAATCAAACATGACCAACATGACTGCCCAAGTTTGTGATGATGCTGCATATCGCCGGCGTATGCCCTACAGGGTCCCGTGCTCAGTCGGGAAGCAGCACGGCCCCGGTGCGCCGCCCCGGCTGGCAGAGCCCCGTCCGTTCATGCATGACGGCCGAGTCTACTGCGGCACTAGCAGGGATGCAGGCGTCGTGAGCTTGCAGCACGAGCATGGGCACCCAGAAGTGTGTGGATCTGACAAGGCCCCGCTCGCTCTCATTGGACTTACACTTGCAGTTGTGTGTTTGTTCAGGTTTGTGCCGGTTTGTGGAGCTCATCGGCTGTAACCAATTATATTAATGCTCTGCTCGACCCAATTTACTAAGGTTCCACGTCCAAACAAACCTCCTCACCCACAGACATTCGCGAACAAACCCCCACGGGATATACTCGAGTTCCACAAACATGGATCCACAAACACACACACACAAACCTGCCCGCCTTGGTGCCCAGCGTCTTTCACCCCAGGCGAGCTTAGAACACGCCACGATTCGTTTGGCAGCTGTGACCAGTACAGTAGTGACCGCAATCAGTGTCCACAAATAACTTAATTGAGATGATTCCCGCACGGGCCATATTGACCCAGCTGTGGCTTAGGACTGTGCGCAAAAGGTTCAGTACTATGTACCGTCTATAAAAGCTCCACCTCCCCTCCATTTCTGACTTCCCTTGACTTGGCTGATGCCCCAGCGACCCTTTATGTATGGGCAGACATAAACTGGCTATTACGGTCTCAATAAGCCACTGCACTATGCAGGCAAAAGTATACAGGCACCTCTAGGTTAGGTACCGGAGGCCTATAAGGATATATAAACCCTACCACTGGCCTTTCAATGTTCTGCATAATGTTTGCCGCGTTATAGTTTGCCATCATCTTACGAAGGACATAACGAAGTTTGCCAACGATTCGCGGTGGTCACTACTGTCGCCCTGTTCCGATAAGTACCGCAGCCGTTTCCGGCTCCTTCAGTGTCAGCGGCTATGGCAGAACTTGTGCAAACCTTCCTAGGGAGATGAGAGAACGAGAGCTGTGCGGCGCACTATCCATAGCCATAACCTAAAATCTGCCAATACCGCCATTTCCAACGTTCCGCGCACTACACGCAAGTATCGGCCCCAACCGCCCACCACCCTCGGCACAATGAAGGGCTGTCCCAAATATCACACCAGATGGCAAAAGGAGAAGCACCGAAAGAATGTGCAAAGCGCAAAAGCGAAAGCCGAAAAACTCGGCAGGGCCTGCAACACGTTTGTGCTATATGTCACATTCAACCTAGTAAGCCGGCAAATGGAAGGGGTCTGTCATCTGCCACCAGGAATGCAATTCCCGGACATCAATAAATTTGTAGGCTCCTCGTACTCTAGACAGGGGAGTCTTTAGCTAAACATAGCATAGGTTCGCGAGCAGCTGTTGCCTGGGAACACTGGCGAAAGTCAGGATCCGGACTTTACGCATGTGCAGATGGAGCAGGAAGACCACCGTGACCTCGGCAGTTCTCAGCAACCCGAAGCCACAAGATCTTCATGCAGCTCGCCATCACTTGACTTGAAGGAGCTTTTTGACTCAGACCCTGATGGAGATTTTGGAGCAATATTAGCCAATAAGCGCGGCTAACGCAAAGGTGTAGGGGAGAGCACAATCATGATATGTACGTTTTCAGAGGGGATTCTTACAAAGCGATGCTAATAATTGTACAGGATCAAGGATATTATCTCCTCCGGGTTGAGCGAGAGAGTTCTGCCCAGCCCGAACTCGACCAGAACGGAACCTTCGGCGACTTCATCAATTCCTAGTCCCAGCCATAATTGAACCCAGTTCATAGGTTCGGATATGTACCGTTCCCAGGTTTTTGGTTTGTTGTTGTATATGAGCAAAACATAAATGGGTCGGACTACAGTTGATGTCAGATGTGCCGTTATTCTTTAAGATATCGAGCCGGCGATTATGCAATATATCTCTATGGAATCTCCGTCCCTTCCGCGTGTCAAAATAACGTTTCTGCAACGTGATGCATAAGAGAAATGACAAAGTGCATAAATCAAGAATGGCAGCACTCTAAGTTGCTCAGATTTCGTCTAGTCATGACGGGCCTCCGTTGCTCGAGGGAATGTCGTCCATAACATAGTTGACAAACCATTCAACGAGTTGCGATCAAGTCAAGAATGTGACGTAGACGCTGTTGAGGGTCGCATCCGAGAGGTCCAATGCCGGTATGCTGTGGGCGCAGCACGGCGTCGGACTTTGGTCTTGGAACGAATGATCCTGGCGCGACTCTGTGGAGAATGGGACAAACAGGCGCAGAGGCGATGTTGCGAGGAGATAGGAGCTGTGGAGCCCGACCGCGGCGCGGCGGTTACCATCTTATGCTGCCGACAGTCACCGCGAGGGGCCACTAACGGACCCCGGGAGCAGATGCCGAGCGGGTGGCTTCGCGCGATACAAGACCGCCGCTTAGGAACTTCTCGTGCGGTTGGTATGACTGATGGTGGCTTCCACACTCGGGCGCGCTGCGCGCAGTAGTGGAGGGTTGCATAGTACGGTGTCCGATTCCGGAATAGGCCGTTTTTCTGGTTGATCATCCTCTTTCATTCGACATCGGCCCCATAAATCAGTCCCCGTCTCTCGGCCCCCCGTGCACATGTAGGAGAAGGATTCCATAGAGGGGATAATTGAGTTCCTGCAATCCTGGGATGTGGCTTTCTGTACTAGTAATATTTTCCCTAGATCGTGACTACGATGACAGATGTAGGCTGCATGGCAGCTTGGGTCTTGCGGGTTGTACTGGCGAGCCGGGTACTAGCCCGCATCTAGCCCAAGTTTACCTCGCCGTGAATAACAAGCGTCCAACCCCTGGGCCCCTTCTTAACCAAGCTGACCACAATCTTGGCTTTCCGCTCGATTTAGAGATCCTTATCTGACTTGAGATAGCATAATCCTCCAGCCGCTATCCTCGGTATCATTCGGGTCGCCCTCCTACAAAACTCAGGGAGACATAGTGCGCAGCCACTCAACGACGACTTCAGAGTATGAGTTGTCGTGTAGAATATTTTCGCTATTGATTTCTATAGATCTGTGGTATCGTCCAGGATCGCTGGGATTCTGAGATGGAGTCTCTCGCTTGGAAGCAATGACGGGTCTGGCGGAGCTAAGTGTTTGCCGCTGATGATAGGACCTCTTACGGCGCTGGAGTTGTATTGTGGTAGCTTCATCCATTGCGGGTTAAGTTAGATAAGTCGTAGAATGCACTAGAAGGGTCATGAGACCCGGACAATTGCGGCTGCAATCCGGATTTAAAATTGCTGCGCTCCTCTAGCGCTGCGTCTCGCATTGTTCGGGCGTCGTGTGTTTTCTGCTCTGGAGCCAAATCTGGCGCCTTAGATTATGTAGATAACAGTACTGTAGCATGTGGTGGTTTGATTATAGCTTTTTCATTAGACATCAGCGCAATGTAGTGGCGTGAAACCCCGATTCGGCTACCGTACAGCTGGATTGCATTGATCCTTGTCACGTCTTGCATCTGGGCTGCGCTCTGACCCCCATACCCTTGAGACCCTCCCTTGGCTGCACACAACACGACCAATTAGCTAATCCGTGCAGAAGGGCAAAGCTGCAGAGCTCAACCGCCCAAGCCTTGGCAAGGCTGCCACCTGGTTTGACAGTGACAGTGGCTATGGTAATGGTAAGCCACGGCCGAAATATTGCACTTCTGCCCAGTTATCCGATTGGCCGCAGCTCCATCTGCAACTAAATTGCCCTTCTGTTCTTTGTTCTCGTTGTAGCATCCTGACGGGCCAGGACGAATCACAAGAGTCTATCTTATGCAAAGCTGATTGGCTAGTCACCTCCATTGCACCTTTGTCCGGTGCTCTCTAGAATAGCTCTGCGACACTGCGAATATTCCAGGCATTCCAAGAACAGGCCATTCGGGAGCAGGGCGGACCGAACGCGCTGGATAGCCCAGCCCTGGCGACCCGCGGCCTGCATGTCGCTGGCTAGTTGGAGGGTTGCTGCATGCAAGTATGGACATATCGGATGCGCCTGTGCCCACACTCGCCGATTAGCGGGGAGGTACGGAACTTAACCAACCATGGCGGGGCCGACACTGGTGTTGTGTGGGGGCCTTTAGTGACCCTCGCTGGCTGGGCTCTGTCCACTCCACTGTAAGTTATCCCCATCGCAAGCATTCCTTCGTCATCCTCATTGTCTAGTCGCCACAGCAGCCTTTCGCTGGTCATCGCCAGGCCGCCTTCCCTGCTCCGGTATCTCCCCATCATCTTGGGCACACCATAAAACGCTCAGTATACGACTACTGCACGAACACAAACACTGGGATCGCGAACGCGGCTCGTACAGTGTGCACGCGACTCCCGCTCCTAATGTGAACTTTCGCGCTCTCCCACGGTTTCCATTCTGCCACCGACGCGCGTCCGACAGGTCACTATGACCTCCACCCTGCGCCAACCCAGCGACACCGACTACACTCCCAGCACCCATCGGCAACGACGGTGATGATTGGCGCCTACCCCGCAGGACCAACCTGCCCATCTCTCGCAATCGCGTACCCCCGAAGAAGCCGAACTGGGATAACAGGGGTGAATTCGAGGACGAGGATGCGCAGGCTTGCGTCAATGCAGACTTGCGTTGCCTCCCTGTGTCAGGCCGGTTCGCAATTCTGGCAAGTTGAACTGCGCCGCGGCGAGGCCTGTTCGACTTGTCAGAAGGCCCGAAACACATGCCGCTGCCGGATTTCTCGGCTGCCAATTCCACGATGCGCAATGCCTCGCGATGTTTCATAGCATAAGACTTCACTCGAGTCCGTGTCGGATGGCAACCACTCTCAGCATCATCGAGCGCCGTAACATTGCGGATCGCCTACTCATTCTGCTCAACAATGTCTCGGATTCGATTCGAGATCGACCTGAATCGAGCCGGCTCCTCCTCCCTGCCTCCGCGACTCCTCCGAACCAGCTCTGATAGCGGCTCCGCGCACCACACCCCAAGGCGCTGTCAATGACTACGCACAGTCCGCCAGCGATGGCATCGCGGTGCCTTGGAGGGTCGGCATGATGGCCAAGTCAACTTGGGCATGAAGGTCCTCGCCATCGTTCCCCTGTGCCAGTCCAGCGCTGGTCAGGCGGGCGCCGAGCTGATTAGAGGAGGGAGCAGGGACGAGGTGCGGGAGGCGCTCGAGGAGCAGCTTCCCTTCATCGACTTCCCTATGATATATCCCTCGGGCCTGGGATTGATGCTGCCTGGCGAGGGGCCGTGTATAACAACGCCGCGCTGCTTGACGTCTTGACCAAGACTGGATGGTCGGCGATCTGCTTCAAGTAACCCCAGTAGTGCGACACTGAAAGGCCGTCAACACCCCGTTAATAGTCTTCGAGGAAGACCGCAAGCTGCGGCCATTTGTCAACCTCGTCCAGTGCATGGGCACCATGCCTCGGCGGGTCGGACCAGTGGCGGCGGAGGCAGCGATGGGGGCCTGCTTGGTGGCTCAGAGTTCCGGCTCGGCTATCCCATGGAATCAAATGTTCTTGTTCAGCGGAACGAACCACCAGTTTCAGCCTGCGAGGCTCATGGGCAGCATTCGCGTGCTGGTAGGCATGTCAATATTCTATTGTAGAGCGGGCGGCGTGGTCTGTGGCATATTTGCAGCTAGTTCCTAGGTAGCTTATTGGGATAGACATAGATTTGGGGGCATCGGCACGCTTTGCAACGCGGTCTCATAAGGTCACCAAGCTCGCAAGACTTAAACATAGGGCTTTTTGGCTTTATAGCGATAGAGAACATGGAGAGAAACTCAATGGCCGAGATATTGCCTTAGTTAACACTGCTACACGTCTCTGCCGGGGTTTTAAGTCACATCTTCTGTGCTTGCTTCGAGCACTATTCTATATCTCAGTGTCTCTCTTTAGTGTGTACCTCGGGCCTATTCCGATCCTTCCTTGCCATAGCAAGCTCGGAACCTGGGTGCCTTGCCCGGTGTGAGGAGCGGACTTGCTTTTTTCTCGTCTCTGCGAGTTACCTTCTGCACTGCGACACCGAACCCCTCAAGTTCCGGAAGACAGGCCCTGGCACTTGAAAAAACCGCCAAAATGTGCTACTATCGCACAAGTTCAAAATACTTGTCTGCGCTTTGTACCCGAAGTCTTTTGCCAAACTGGATAATGATGAGATAGACAGACGTGACAGCCAGACCGATAAATGCCGCCGTAATGAAGCAAGTCTGGTAGCCAAGCTGAGACAGCCATGGCGTGATTCTGCGAACAGTGTCAGTTGACCCTCAGATTTTCTATGGCTGCAGAAACATGGCGTACCCATAGCTAATTGCGAATGACATAGTATTGCGGATAATGATAACCGTAACAATCGCGTCGCCGCTGATCCCAGGGTAGCTGTCGATGAGATAATTGACAGAGATGGTGAGACCTATTGTGGTCGCCGTAGCGAGGCTGCCCATTGCCATGATCAGACCAAACCAATGGATCTCGTGGGCTGCTCCGACACCCCAAAGAACAAGCCCTCCAGGTATGAGTATTATGCAAATGGTGAAGGGCCACAGTCTGTGCTCTGCCTCCATAATACCGTTATTCCTCCGGGCAAGTTTGACTGTCAGCCAGTCGCTCAAGAGCCCAGAAAGGAACGCGCCATCGATGACACCAATGCAGCACGAGAGGTAGCTGATCCCGACCAGGGAAGGGGAAAAGTTATACGGCTCGCCAGAAAGGATGATTGATGCCGTGGCGTTCAAGACGTTAAACCAGATCAGGTAAGTCCCGTAGGAGAACCCGGCATAGAATATAATGGGCCAAGACAGATATCTGACGGACCGCAAAGCCCGGCCGAACATCCCCTGACCAGGAGAAGACTGCCAAATCGACAGTTTTTGCATGTAAGTCTTGCTCACAGGGTATGTCCCACCGGCTTCTGATAAAGTTGGCGACTCCGCGGCAACGGAGAATCTCTTCTCCCATGCACTCGACCCAGCTATCGAGGCTGGAGAAGGGGACATCGCGGATGCCGGTTCGTGGGATGAATAGTTGCGGGTGTAGTTAGTTTCCTCCATTAGAAAGAATAGTACTATGAAAATAAAACCAAGGAATATTGCTGGCCAATAGAAAACCCACTGCCAACCGTGATACTCTGCGATCAGACCACTGAGCACTGGGGTGAAGTAGTTGCTACCGGCTAGAGTGAAAGCGTAAACCCCCATATAGGTACCTCGTTCATGGGTAAAGTACTATATGCGAGAGAGAGTGAATTAGCAAGATTTCGGTCACGAAGCGCAGAGCAATACTTGCAATATCAGTGACTGAGATCTCCGGAAGAGCTTCAATAGGAGCTATGAAAAATCCCTGAAGTATGCACTTGGCCAACCATTCGCCATTGCTTGTAATATGCGCGCTATAACTAATGTTAGCAATAGCGAACTTGATTGTTGGTATCCCGGACGGCTTGTACGGACCTCCAGACACTGGTACCCTGAAGAAATGCATGTCAGTAAGACTCCATGTATTCCGTAGCGCTCTCTCAGAATAGCGAAAGAATGGCTTACGATAGCTCCGAGGATTGAGATCAGGTATGTAGGTCGCTTGCCATAGCGAAGTGCAAAAGGTTGCCAGAACAACAAGCCCCAGCCAAGTAAAAGGAACATGTAGCCGGTTCCCTCGTTTAGCGCAGTAATAGTAACCCCGGAGCTTAACGACAATGGCACGAGGACAGAATAGATAGTCGAAACCGCAACGCCAGTGAACCATGTATACCTGATACATCCGAGTCAGCGCTGGCAAGCATGATTTTACTTTGGTATAAGTCGGCCTACAGGTTTTGGCAGAGAAGAGATAAGAGCTTCCGACGCGGAGACCAATTGAGCGGGTCATTAGGGTCGTTAGAAGGGCAAGGGTGAAGAACGATGTCACTGCTGCCAGCATAACGGCCACGAGTGCTGTGGTGCAACCCGACTAGGCGCACAGTCCCAGGAGTTTTCTCGCCACTGGGAGTGGCCCGTTGGATGGTAATGAATGCCATAATGAAGCTCGAGTCGGGACTGCGATGTAAGGGAAGTTTCTGCCGTGAGAAGTGCAGACGTCCTCGGCTATATATGGAAGAAATACCTCAGCAAAGGCTCCACGACAGAGTATGTCCTCCAGGATAGTGCATACGACAGGTCTGTCGTATCTGGCCATTGTGGCTAAGGTTAGAGTAGCATTGCTTGTCCTAAACAAGTCAGTTTGCTTGAAAAGCGTGTGTTGTGCTAGCATCGTCTATTGGATCGTCGCAGCCAGGTGCAATCGTTGGACCAGGGTCCTTGGCGACAGAGCTACGCATGGTTGCTTGTGTTCTGTTTGTTAGATGTGTTTATGGTGTGTATTTATACTCAACTACTCGACGAGGAAAAGAGTTTCGGCACCGATTCATTTCTTTACACACTTGCCATCATCTGCATTCGGTCTCCAATATCTTGAAAACCCATTGGTAGTAATGGGGTGCCCGCCGAAGTTCACCATTCTACAGCCAAAGCCGGTACCCCCTGGTAGTAAGGTCTTCGAGGTCAAACGTGCGGCTGTACTGGAAGTTTTTCAGGACAAAGTACCTGTCGCTTACTACTTACCAAAGGAACTTCTCGACAATATTGCCTGCGACGTCACAGACATCCCTGCCAAATGTGGCATCCTCACGGCTGAAGAGATTGCCATCACCGAAGACTATGACACAGTCGGTCTTGCCGCGGCCATTGCCGCGCGCAAGCTCACAGCTGTCGCGGTTGCGGTGGCCTTTGCGAAGCGCGCAATCATCGCTCACCAGTTGACATGCTGCCTGACGCAGTGGTTCATGGAAGAGGCTGTGGCTCAGGCGCAGCAGCTGGACACATACTTGGCAGAACATGGCAAGCCAGTCGGCCCTTTACACGGCGTGCCCGTGAGCATCAAGGAGCACATTCCTATCGCAGGTGTCTCATCTTCAAGTGGATGTCTGGCGTCCATCGTCCTCGACAAGACTGATAGCCAGCTGGTCGGAATTCTGCGCCGCCTTGGTGCTGTTTTCTACTGCAAGACTAATCAGCCCCAGTCACTAATGCACCTCGAGACTGACTCTTTTTGGGGTCGGACTACCAACCCGTTCAACATCCATCTCTCAGCTGGAGGCTCCACGGGGGGCGAGGCGGCGCTCATTGCCATGAAAGGGTCCGTCGTCGGTGTGGGGACAGATATCGGTGGGAGCATCCGAGGACCGGCAGCGTTTTGTGGCATCTATGGCTTCAAGCCTACATCGAACACCCTGCCCATGCAAGGCTTCATTCCAAGTCCCTTCCCCGCCGAGCTCAACATTCTGGGTTCTACTGGCCCGATGTGCCGTAGTCTCCGAGATATGGACTTCTTCATGAGTAGCGTTCTAGCGGACAAGCCACATCTCTTGGATCCCAGGCTTGTACCAATCCCGTGGACCGGCTTACAGACAAGCTCGACTAAGATTCTCAAGATCGGGATAGTCGAGAACGATGGCTTCGTGGAGCCACAACCTCCAGTCAAACGCGCCATTGCCTGGGCACGTGAGCTTCTGATGGATGCCCGTCATACAGGCGCTATTAGTATCAAGTCTTTCGAGATATCTGGTGCAGCAGAGGTCTGGCGCACGGCCAGACGGATGTACTGGCCTGACGGCGGCTCAGGTTGTCGCGACGCGATCCTCTCGGGCGGCGAGCCACTTCATCCCTTGAGCGAGTGGATCTGGAAAGACGCCGAACCCTTCGGCATGCTTACAGCTGCCGATGTCAGCAATATGCGAGGTGACCGCGATAATTATCGTCTTGAGTTTGCCCGTGCGTGGCAAGAGCAGGATATCGATGTTCTCATTTGCCCAGCCTACGTGGGACCCGCCTGTGCTCATGATACAGCCTTCACATGGACATACACATCACTCTACAACTTTGTAGACTATCCTGCAGTCGTTGTTCCTACACCGATTGTGACAGAGGTCGGGGAGCAGTACGATCCTTCATACCAGCCTTTGAGTGAAGCCTGCGAACAGGTAAAGCAGCTTTGGGAGGAAACTGATTTCCGAGGAGCGCCAGTAAACCTGCAGCTGGTAGCACGCAAATACCACGACAATGAGCTTTTTGGGGCCCTCAGCAGACTCAAGGATATTCTTGGCTTGAACTAGGCGAATGGAGGTTCGTTGTCAATCCATACTATTTGTAGCCATTGGCCTCGCCGCAATTCATAGTATAGTACTTCAATCGTTTCAGGATCCCATTTGCACATTTGAGGGGTTTCGAACCCTCCTAGCTATTCGAGTTGGTACTCATGCCAAGCTTAGGACGATGTAACCTCCTAGTGGTGCACACCAGAACGCGCACGATAACAGAATGAGGACTATTTCCACTACCACAACAAACCTCACCACTTGCAATGCCAACAGACAATTTCAAGAGTCCTGATCGCGTTACGGTATTGGTGAAAACTTTACTGCCAAATAAGCTGGTATTGCGCGATTGTTTGGCGTCCAAAGAGACGCACTGCGATGATGGAGGTTTCGGGACGCAGATGTATCCATCCTTCCTCTTCCTCTCTCTCCTTCCCTTAGCTCTGCATAAATCGATATTGCTTGGTCCTGCATGTGCACCTTGTCAAGAGGATGAGAGGAGAGAATCATAGTTAATTGAACCATGACGCAGCAGTAGCGACTATCTGTAAACGGAAACTAATGTAACCCATATCCTGCTTCTTTCTTCATCTTTCATCCTGCCGCCGACTGCCAGTTGCTGGCTTTATGTCCTGATGATTATAAGGTGTATAAATACATCGTCCACTCCGCCTTTTTCCTTGGCCTAATCTTGCAGTGTTCTTTGTCCTCCAAAACAATTCTTTCTTAATTTCGAGTTGTTACAATTACTGGCCAGATCGATGATCAAAGTAACGCCGTACCCTTTCTTTTGCGGAATCCAGACATAATTCTCGCAGGTCCCAGTTTTCCTAATGGCCCTAGAGCCGGAGAGTGAAAGAGAACCATGATCGCAGTCTAAGGGCATGTTTCCAAGGTCGACGCCCATATGCTCCCATCCCAATTCTCCACGTCATATCTATCATTTTCCATGTAGCCAAACGCTAATCCAGATCTGATGTCCGCCCCTTGGTCGTAGATTCCTGCTGTCCCTGGTACGTCTTCCCCACCGCAAGCGTTGGCGATCACCTCCCATGCAGCCCTGAGATCTTCGTTTGTGATAGTAAATGGCTCATGGGTGTAGTTAATGACAAAGGCATTTACCAGCCGACTAGGATCATTAATGGTGAAGTTCTTCCCTATGGGAACCTTGGCGAGTTCTGGAAACTCGTCCATTTGCTTGACAAATCTCTCTCTAGCATTGTCAACGGCGCCCCTATTGAGTTTGATACCACAACCGCAGCGGACATCCTCAAATGTTCTTTCACGCTTAGGGAAGGCAGCGGCGGATAACGTGGAGGGTTGCACGATGTCGGATACGTCGACGTCCGCATGGCTACTATCATATTCAGGGACAAGGTTGGGATGGCTTGAAATAGCCTGTGGGGAAGCAAAGGCCACGGCGGTGGTAGCAAGTAACAGGTAGATTTTATGTAAGAACGTCATAATATATCAACTTGTGCTGTGGTGCCAGGTTTGGCGGTAATGGAAGAGAGAAGACAGTCGGGACGATTGTTCCACTGGCCAAGTTTAAATACTCGTCGTATTAGGGCTTGTCCATGGGAGGAGGATAACTGCTAGTCCGCGTTTCCTGCTAATTGTAGTATAACAAAGAAAAATGACATGCTCGAATAGCAGTATAACGTAAAACGAGGTAGACAAGTATTCAGGTTTCAGTTAAGCTTGTGCGCTAACGTTTCAATTGTACAGTCAACTTACATAATTACGAAAAGGAGCAGTATTTCTGTAGACCAATAGGGGGGACAAGAACAGCGATTGTGAGAGTGGCTGTCAACGGCGCGCGGCCTCTTTCTTATTATCGATACTTGGCCTCTGCCATTCGTTTTACTGCTTGGCGCTGGTCAAGGAGATACGCCACCCATGGATGGTCAGCAAAGCCACACATGCCGAATCGCAGAACCAAGAGGCGGGCTTGATGTCTACCAATACTCAGCGTCCCTCAGGAAACTTCAAGAAGCAAGCCGACATGGAAGCACGCGGGAGCCGGGAAGATAAAGACCGGAAGTAACCTATTCGCGGGAGTTGCCTCAGGGTCGAGTGGCCCGTCCCTGGCACCCGCTGCTTCGTCTCCTTCTATATCTGTGGTCCCAGGGCGCCACTTGATGAGTTTACGTAACACCCAAGGTATTCGCTGTTTTGACTCCGTTCGACAGGCAGTCGCGTACTGCGGACTAGAGTGCACTGAGAGTCTCAGGGCTTACGCAGGATAGACTCGTTGCGCCTTTCCCAATCATCATCGCATAGCTCTGTGCTCATCCGATAGTGGCAGAGCCTCGATGTATCAGACTTTCTTGTAACAGTGGATATGTTGGCTGGGGCCGTTTTGTGGTGAGGGGGCACCGTCATGTCCAATTGGCCGCACCTGGAGCAGCTGCGATCTTCGCTTGCTGTAATGCTCAACCCATGATGGCTACAGTGGCTGGGCCTTTGTGGTAACCTGCCTAGTCGACGCTGGTTCTGGACTACCGTGCCCTGCTTATAAGGGAATCGCAACCCGTGTGGGATTTTGCAGTCGGGTGGTTGTGAACGCTGGTTGTGTCGTTTGACTGTGCCGGCACCAGCTTTGAGTGGTAGGTAGACCATGGGACAAGGGGGTTCTAAATGCTAGCCCTTCGTGATGACAAAATGGATTACTGGTGGGCTACTGGCCATGATCTAAATCCTTTGTATTGGTGCGTGGTACGCAGGGTTCTGTAACTGACCCGCTTGTGTCTTCTTGGGAGGCGAGCCTTGTCTCTGGCCAGATCGAGACGGTCGCCGCATGCGTTGTTCCATAGAACGACCAGGCTGGCCGGGCCCTGTACGGTGGGCGCGATATTGGGCAACGGCGAAGGGTCGGTGGTGCAGGCCTAGTAAATGCTCACAGCTTAATCGCCAGATTTCTGGGCGGTCGAGGGCGTCAATCATCAGACGCAGCAGAGGTCTTTGCTTTGGGGCCATGCTCATCGCTGCCTAGATGTTCATGACTGCGGGCGCGGTGGCACCGTTGCCGTGGTTTCATGCCTGCCTCGCAGACCACCCGAGCTGCCGCAGCTAGAGGAGTGAGAAATGACGCCGCCGAATTGAACCATCGAGGCTAGACAACCGTCACAAATTCGAAGAGAAAGCCCGGCACGCATCCCGTCTCTGCGTCGATTTTCATGTCCCTCTTCCCCGGTAGTTGCGAGGTGGCGACCTGCACCCGGCTCCACGCCAGCAAAAGAGTATACTGCAGACACATCACGGCGCTCTCACATCACGGTAACCTCGAGGAGTCTCACAGTACAAGGCGCTGAACCTCCTTCCGCGCGCAGGTTGAATATGGTCGACCGGGCCTGACAGTGCATCTCATATGCCCTCATTACAGGCTCTAGACAATACTAATGTAAGACAGCCCACGCAATCCACTCATATGTCCGTCAAATATTCTGGAGACCCGAGCGTCTGCCCCATCGCGATGGAGGGCTCTACTTGCGATAACAGCACGAAGGCTTGGTCGCATGCGTCTCTCGGGTCGCTCCCGCCCGAACTTTTAGATCTCATACTGGCGCATCTTGACATACGGGACATCAAAACTCTACGCCTCTCCGTCCGCAGCCATGAACAATCCTACTTGCGTGTCCTGTACAGCTCCGCGTATATCTCCATCCTCGACCGAGACGTGAAGAACCTTGTCGAGATTGCGCGGCACCCAGCTCTCGCAGAGAATGTCCGAGACATTTACTGGATAATGTACCCTACCTCAATACACGAATTGTCCGACTGGCTTCGCACATCGTGCAGCCCGCCCCTCTTTTACCAGAGGTCTTACGAGGTCGCAACGGAGCTGGCGAATGCTACTATGCTCAGTCCCGTCAGCCAGAAGCATGGCCAGAGCAGGGCCCATCCTTTCCGCTCACTTGCAGACGCCACGAGGGAATTTCAGCCGACACTCATCTCCTGCATCCTGGCCATGCCAAACGTCCAGTGTATCTATATCATCCCTCCCCCAAACGGGCAGCGGCTGATGGGTGTTCCAGACATTGACAAAACGCTGCTAACCCACACGGAAATCGACTCCACGCCGGAGTGGCTGGAAGTACAATATGTCACCCGCCTGAGCCTCTTGCCCGCCAGCAACCTACTGCACAGCAGACAGGGCCTTGCGAGCCATGGGAACCGCAGAACTCTGGCGCCGACGCCCCGAGGACAAGTCGGCCAGGTCATACTGGGGACGGACATCACCCTAGAGATGTTTGGCCGAGTACCCGTACATAGCCTCGCCAGCATCGTGACGGCATGCGTGAGCATGGGGTCAGCAACGAGTACCAGTCTGGCGTGGTCCGTCCGCGGACTGCTACTTCTCCCTACCCTCAAGGTTCTGAGGTTCACAGGACAGCGCGTTTCCAGTCGGCAGGCCCCCATGGCGCTAGAGGAGTGGGATGCTGTGCTCCAGGCTTTCCTCACACCACGACCAGGAGCTCTCGGGCTGTCCGAACTGCAACTACACGGCGTCATACCACCTCCAGAACATCTCCACTTCATAGTGAAACAGTGTTCCAGGACCATTAGCATGCTTTCTCTGTGCGCCGCTGACATTACCATCGGGCATCTCCAGCACCTCGGTCGGTTGAAATTTGGGGATCTGCGGCAAGTATGGGTCCACGGACATCTTCAGCCTGATTTACTGTGTCTACAAAATACTGACATTACCAGCTGGCTTGTAGGAGGGCCTCATGCCGACTCAGCCGCCCTGTTTGCGATGCAACCCGTGACTGGCGCCTTCACGCGCGAAGCTAGCCAGCTGCTGACGACTCCGCCGTTGAAGGACTGGATATACCCGGCGACCGACGTGTATGAATTAAGGCTTGCAAACGTGGAGGAAGAGACAGCGATATAATTGGATTTCTGGAGAGGTTTTGCTGGTGTTGTGGTTGGGCTGTCTCTTGGCAGCGCACAGGGCCAGAGCCTCCTTTGTGACAGGGGATGGCCCGGGAAGGCCGTTCGCTACGGTCATCTGGGTCAAGATGGAGCGTTTGCGCGTGCGGCAGGGAAGGCACCGTCTGCATCGCAGCTGTTTGGGCGGCCGGCCGGCTATTGAAGACCGCGAGAGCTTACTCATACGGCTTGTTATTTGTCAATAATAAGTAATTGTCGCCATGACCCCGTGCATATCGTAGCAGTCATCGGCCGTGGTGCATGTCCGGGGGCCAATACGTGCTCGCCATCACCTGTCGGAGAAGAATTTGGCCTCCTGCATCAAGTGGGGCCCTGATGTCCGCTCCCTCGGCCTCCGGCGGTCATTCGAAAAGCCCCACTAGAGCCATCGCAGCAAGGTCCCGATTTTCGCCCAGAGACGACCTCGTGCCCTGCTCCAATAGACCGCGATCACGCTGGCCAACCCACCATATAAGGTGCGTCGTGAACTCCGAGTGCAACAATGCAACCGGCCCACCGCGGTCGCAGTCTTACCGAACATCTAGATAGCAGGCGCAGATACTTGAATGACAGCGACATACTGAAGTCCCCATCGAACATTGGAGAGAGGGTGTTCCGGAAGGATCGAGACCGTTCCCAGTGGTTCTCGAACACCATGCGCAGGGACTTTAAGGCGCCAGAGCGGGCCACCGTGGATGGTCACTATACGGTCCTGAGGAAGGGCGGGAGGGGCGAGGACCGCACGAATATGCCAACGACCTCGAGGACTGTGAGTGCGGCAATGTCTGTTATTGTCAAAATATGTAAGAAACTACTCTTCCCTTTCCGACTGCTAGGGAGCAGACCAACACTGATAAGGAGCCACCCCTAATGCACGCGGGGTTTCGTTGTGACGCGACCTCCACTTGAGAAACAACAAAGTTAACGGATGTCTTGGCCGCCGGCAAGCAAACAAGTTCGTAAGCCATGGCATTAATAAATGCCCTAAGTCGGCACACTAAGGTGCGACTGCTCCCATCATCAGTTTTGGTCGCCGATAAGAAGTCGCGGCCGAGTATTAATAGAACAAACACGAAATGGCGCATGCCGCTCTGCAATCGCAACCACGGCAGCAAATCACGGTCGGCAGCTCCCAGAACATCAAGTCGGATGACAAGTACGTTCTAGCCCGTGGCTACGCAGCCGCATCGCGGTAAGTATGAAACTTCAGACCTACGTATGCATTCGTACATGCGCTAATAAGACTCGACATAGACTGAATCTCCAGCATTATCTATGGAAAGAAACACAGCGGTATCTTCTGCATCCGTGGGTTCGTGAGCAACTGCGTACTTCTGCCGAGACAGGGCACCATAAAGTCGCGGATTTAGCGACAGGAACAGGGTGGGTCGTCATAACCCAGTCCTTACATTATTTGTTTTAGGGCAGAGTAGCATTTCCTGACAGCCACACGCTTTAGGATCTGGCTTCTAGACCTTTCCCGCTCGGCAGAGCTCCAGGATCTCGCCCTTGCCCTGCATGGCTTCGACATCTCCTCGATGCAATTCCCGCACGCTGCCTGGCTCCCAGAGAACCTCAGCTTTGACGTCGGAGATATCCTGACTGACCCTCCCAACGAGCTCTGGGGCACGTTCGACCTCGTCCATATCAGACTCGTGGTCTTAGTGGCTCGACAACTTGATGATCCGCGGCGAATAATTCGTCACGTGCACAAACTTCTAAGTTAGTCAGAATTTTATAGAAATGTAAAATCAACGCAGCACTAGCTGGCAAATCGATACGGGTCAGGGATGTGGGTGCAAAAGCTCAGAGAACTAATAATGCTTTCATGACTATTAGAACCTGGTGGCATTTTACAATGGGAAGAAGTAGAGCCTCTCGGCCACCACCGCATCCTCGTACGCGAGGGTGCCGGCATCGATACCAGTACAACCGAGATGGATGAGATTTTCGGCGTGGTAACAAAGGCTTTTGACTTCACGTAAGCTCCTCTTTTTGATGCCTACGCCAGCCTCAGGCGATGCTATTTTAGCTTCCCCAATACTGACAGAAGCGACCAAATCTTCTTCTGACATATTGATGCAATATAGCTGGGTCACACAGATTCCTAGCCTGCTCGGGCAGGAAGGCTTTACCGACGCAGTGCAGCACTTTTGTGATCCCCCACCGGTGCTGTACCAGGCATTGACCTGTTCGCAGCTGAACGTACTGGACGAGCTCAGCCACAGCGATGTGATGGCAGGCGATCGCGGGGTACAATTCCGCAACAAGATTGAGGCTGCGTATTTAGAGGCTTCGGCCGGGAGTGCGGCGGGCGCGTGCACCCAAGTCTCGCCGACTATAACTGTGGCACGCAAGGCATTTTGAGGGGTGAGAGACTTGGTTGTATCCCCTGTTACCTGGGCCTGTACTGCTCTGCTCCGTAAGATGAGTTCGAGGTCCCTAAGACATCTTCTGGACTCTCTAAAACCTCATAGGCGTGCCTAATAGCACTACAAGCACGATCAATCAGTCTTTGGAGCTTAGGAGCAGTGTTTTTCAAGCCCACAGATACATTTCTCGTATACGTCCGCAAACATACTTGTGATAAGTATCAATGTGCTCCCTGTTAAGAATGCTAAGTACTCGGAGAAGTTGTCTGGTAAACTCCGTCCTCTTCACCATTTTCCCTCCCGACGGAACCCTTGGTTTTGAAATAAGGCGGAGTAGGCCTGAACGATGCAGCTTCACAACATCTGCTTGGCCTCCCTTCCCATTGCCTCCAGTGTTTCAGATCCCAACTTGCGCTTGTTGGCAATAACCACTGAGTCACGGAGTGAGATCTGTGACTGCGGAAACAGGCATCCCTTCCAGGATCATTTCCTCTCCGATTCGACCTCGGGACTCATTATCGTAGCAGGCCGTCTAAAGGTGGGCGGGACAGGCAGGTTTGACATGCCCGATTCTCCTGTAGGCAGAGGTCCAGGTGGAAGATTTCGAAGCGTTATGTCGAAGTAGTAGACATCAGTGATCTCATCGACGCTGCAAAACTCCGTGCCGCGACTCCGTAGGAATATCATATTCTCGTCCCAAGTTCCTTGTTGAATATCTCATGCGAGCCGATTCCGGGAAGGTGAAGCTCGATCGATATCCGCTTCGTTCTGATATCGAATCCTTGTAGTTTGAGGTGCTCGACGAATTTCGTGTACGGAAGCCTCTCGCACGGACTGAGAGCAGCGGACCCCTTGATCAGGTACTGGATCGGAATCTGAAATCCGGGGTATTGCGTAACGGATGCTTCCTCCTTGACGACGGGAAGAACGGCAAACTTGAACTTGGCCAGCATGAGGTTGAATTGGCAGCCGTGGGTTGCACATGAGCTGTCACAACCGTTCGCATTGCCCAACAACTTGGCCATGGTTCGTGAGTATGATCGTGAAGTGAGTGGCTGGTTAGGTTGGATGGCTCCTGTAGAGCACAAGATATCAGTACGGGTGATCGTTCATCTGGGCGGATTTAGATTAAGACCTACGGTTGATGTTTCTTCTCCTCCTCGACGATGCGTTCTCGTATGAGTGATGACCTCGAAATGAGTCTCGCCCGTATCGTGGGATGGTTCAAGTAGGAGTCGCTGACGTACGCGACAGCTGGCACGCTGTGTCTGCGGAGCGAGTATCTGGTGTTCCGGGCAGTTAGCCTCACATCACGTCGCCTAGAACGCGAAGGATTGCATGCGACTGAAAATGAATCAGTTGGGCGATATACCATAGTAGATTGTACTAATAACTTGCGTAGACACTAACTGAAGTTTGTCGGAGGTCCGCAATACTACAGCGGCCTATCCGTAAGACCAGCTCCGTCCCTTAGTACGTAGGAAGGCCGAAGATTGGCGGTACATCTCTCTGTGCAGCACGTCTTGCTGATTGGCGTTGCTAAGGCGCAGATGCAAAAACATAGGCAGCTTACTGAAGTACAGCGGCGCTCCAAACCAAAAAGCCTGCCGAAGGTCAAATCGCACCACTACTAACACCACCCATCACCACCCACCACCTTCACTTATAAGTTTTGAGGCCTCATTCAATGCGATGCGACTATCTTGATAGGCAATTATGGAGTTTTAACCCCTGTAGATTATGACGTAATCCGTATTTGGTATACTAGGCATTTGACTTGATAGCAGCCTCAAGTCGGCGTGGCATGCTCGCGCTAAAGTGGTTAATTAGCTCTCGTTCTATTCCCTCCCATATACCCATTGCAATGTTTCCGAGATAATCCGATGAAGTCCGACAATTCGCAAAGTATGCCATTTGAGTGTCTCTTTGTACATGCGTTGTTTGAGGCAGAACCAGAGATTTTCGATAGTATGGGGGGCATTGGAGTACCGGAATGCGCTGCTCTTGGGGCCATGAAGTGACCATCACTGCTGTATGAACAGGCGCGTTATGATGCATGAAGGTCGTCCCACGGCTGAACAATGATGAGAGAAGTTCTTCAACATAATCGAGATAAAGTGCACCCTTTACCACCCCCACCCCTCCCCCACCATTCTTGGAGGCGGGGTCCCCAGGGAGTACTACCAACCGGCCCTTCGCGTACGCTGGATTGCCTCCCAAAAAATGAGATCATGGCGGATACCCTTTGGACAGCCTTGTACGTACTCAACACCGATATCTTTTGAACCTGAAGGAAGCCTTTGGGTAATTATGGACGGAGATATCGCGATGTTTGTGAAGTCGTAGATTTGACTGAACACTGACCAGCGGGTGAAAAGCATAGGCTCTCTTCTAACCGCTCCCACGTTCGGCAGATCACTCGTATCCGAACAAAACAGACCTCCAGAAGGACTCTAATTGATAACGATGCCGCTGGGCAAAATAAAGGCGCTTTGCAGCATGCTGTTCTCCGAGACATGGGCGTGTAACGGCGTACCTATGCATAATGCGGTTATCCCTAAGCCACCGCCTCAAAGTCGGCTTAGATACGTGAGGGGCGCCGCTGCGGCGAAGCTGATCAATTGAGATAAACAGCCGGGCGTTAATCATTGCCTGTTGGTACCTGTCGTCCAGGCAGTGATCAGTTTTGGTCGACCACGCTCCTTCGGAAACACACCCCAATCTTGGTGGTCAACAGTTTCGGATGCGATACACAAGGCTCAGCAAGATCCCCTCTTCTCGGGCGATGGTCGAGGGTTTTTTGTCCTCTAAAAAGCCTGCCCAGGAGCGAATCCTCATACGAGGCGTCGAGTGCTTGCGTGGTGCTTTGGAATTTCGCGATGGCATCACAATCTCCATTTGAAGTTGAGATGTTGCTTGTGGGTGGAAGGTCGCGATGCACGCGTGCGGAGCGCGACCGCGTTTTGGATTATTCTGGCACCCTACTACAGCTGATCCCTGACATACGACATAGGGATCTTTCCACCTTCAGATAGAAATTGACATATGTTTGTGTCTTATCACAGTACGTGAATATGAAAGATATCACTGTAGAGCTGTTCTCGACCCTCACATTCCCATTCTCCAGGCTGGGCTGTAGGTTCTATATCACTGGTGCTAATAGCGCCGCTTTCCATCATCCAACCATTCCTGACGAATTGGCATGTCAAATTGACACTGCACTTCTCTCCGATGAAAGAAGGGCTCAGTGTCGTGTGTGTAATCGACTCCATGGACCGCTGGTACGTATTCTAGTGGTCTAGTCCTCTGGTTCATCTCCATGGCCTGTTCCGTTAAATCGTGAGTAAAGTAACACGGTTATCCAACGCGGCTTGTAAAAGTGGAAAGAATCGGTCCGGTGGGGTTTGTCGGAGGGCCAAGTGTTGCGGCCCCGGCCTCCATGATAAGACCTGAAAACTGTCTTACAGTGAAAACAAAACTGTGTTGGAAAATGTGCTAGCGGCTGCCTATGAAGGCCAAGGCCCCCCGGTCTAGTGATGAAGAACATGTGTGCCTGAAGACCCAGAACTGCAGTATCAATCCAGAAACTTAAAACACCACTGACAATAAGATTATACCATGAAAAGGCCTTTAAATGGCAAGATGGATGATTTCAGGGCTGTGTACGCCTCCCCTGCCAAAAACTTTCATCTCTTTCAAACCCCCCCTACCCGATCCCGTCGCCTTCCACGTGTACACTGGCGTTAGTTTTCCACCGGATCACAGGCGCAGGTGCCTCAACAATTATCCCACCAGTCATTCTTGCTAACCTTGGCCGTTTCAAGCGCGATCCCACCCTCGTCGCCACTATGCTAAGATTTCACATTGGGCACGATTCCGAGTCTGACGTTGTTTGCGGCAATAATCTCGTCTTGCCGAGGGAGACGGTTTGTGTGGTTGGAGAATTGTTCTGCGTCATCGTCGTCATCTTCGTCCACAATGTCAAACACGAACCAACGGATGAGTTTGCAGCCAGGCAGCCAGATGACATGGTTTTCGTCCGCGATGCATTGTTTGTTGTACTGGGATGTGGCTTTTAGTTCCTCCCAGCCATCGACGCGGGGGTCGTGCGAGGTAGTGGTCTTGAAGATCCAGATAGCGCTGAGGAAGTAGCATAGAAACATCACCTCGGAGACGTCGGTGACATCGTTAATGTCGTCCGGCTCGCCCTGCAGGAAGTTGTCGACCTCCCTGTACGCCTTCTTGGCTTGATCGTTCAAGTGGTCGACGAAGACGATGGCTTGGATGCAGAACTGATGGCCGGCCATTTCCAGCTCTTTGACCGCTGATCCGGCATTGTCCGCCGCAGAGTCGGGCTCCGGCTGAGTGGACCTTCTCCACAAGGACCCTTTCGTATTCTTTTGCACCACTTTTACCGCTTCACGTGACGCTTCACGGCCTTCGCGTTGGCATTTTTGGATGGCCTCAACCTCGGCCGGTTCCAGCCGAGTCCCCAGAATGAAGGTACAAGTGAGCGGGAAGATCATGTTCGTCTGGAGATGTCGCTTGTAGCAGTCGACCGCCATCTGATAGATGAATGAAGTGTTGTTGAGTAGCATTGGCTGTTTTTTCGATTCGTCTCTTGCGTTCTTGTACAGCAACTGTAATCTTTCGAAGTCGAGATCGCTGCCGTCCCATCCGTGCCAAAACTTTTTCATATTCTCTCTAGTGAATGCCAACAGCTTGACCAGTTTCTCATCTGGCGTGTCACCCTTGAGAAAGTTGGCATCGTTGGAAATGAAATCTTCCAACCCTTGGTCCGCCAGTGCAGTGCTCTGTTCGCGAATCAGCTGGCAGGCCCGCCGGAATGTTTTGGCGTTAAAGACTTCCATGAGAGCTTTCAGGGTATCGACCTCTAGGGCGGAGAGCTGCTCGGTTTCGAGATTAGGAAATGTTGTGAAGTAGAAGGTCGTGTTGCTCCCCAGCGCCTTCCCGACCAGCAACCGAATGGCGGCGTAGAGAAAAATGGCCTTGTAGGTGATGGGACGCAGCGTGGACGCCGAGTCGAGCCATATCTGTCCATGTCGCTCAGTTAAAGCAGCCCAGGCACCCTTGTGACCCCAGTAGTTCAGCTTGGCTGCCGCCTTGAGGAGATTGAGGACAACTATGACTCCAGCCGGAAAGTTACCGAAACCTGACAGGAGGGTCGACGAGGTCGCTTCGTATTTCGGCGGCGCATTGTCGAAGACCCGAAATTTGTAAGGTTGGTTGCTATTACTCGACGATTGCTCTGGTACTTGTGCATTCGCGCTGAGGCCGTCTTGCGTGGACACCGACTTTTTCTGAGCAGGCAACAAGGTTGGGTGCTGTGTGCCGGGGAGAGTGGATGTTTTCTTCTCTTCCGTGGACATGCCGCACCCCATTTTGAAGGAGTTGTGGCAAATGTCTTGTAACAATGACAGATTTCAAGGTTCAACCAGATGGAGATAATGGCTTGGGAATGGTGGAGTGTTGAGCGAGAAGTTAATGGTGATGCATATGCTGTCCACCCGACAGGAGCGGGCGGAGGGGATCTTTAAGTATTTCCGTTCACAGTGGCCCGCGTCCACAGAAGTGTAATCAGCCTGCTACCCCATGCATTGAACAAGGCGCAGTTCACATCTTACTGGAGCGAAGTGTGTTTACCTGGTCCGAACGAGGAGGGCGCCTCTTTCTCCGCTCTGTGGGGCCTTTGGTGAAGTCCCCGGGCCTGAGGCACCAATACCTCGGGCCAATGGCCGAACCAAGGCTTGCGGCCGTCGAAATGGGGCTTGGAACCAGAAAAGCAAGTTCCCTATCAGCCTTGTCAAGGCAGAACCAAGGCAGCACGCAGGGCAGATACACAAAGAGCGACATGCACGGAGCATCAGATTAGCCCTGCATCCTTGCAATTTTCGCGTCAGGAATGCCTACTCGGCCTTTTTTTCCACTTCAAAGCCAATATTAGTCACAAATCAAATGACTAGATGCACACAAGAAACCTAGATAGAGATTTTCTGGAGACGTAGGGCGATATGTGAAATGGAGGAAACCCGCCTGAAGAATCCGAGGAAGGAAAGGGATGCACAATGAGCGAGTGCAGGCCCGTAAGTACAGACTTTCCAAGGATTGGAATCCGATGAAGCAATCATTAGGGAGCCTCTCTGCGCAGCAAAGGCTTTATCATCGCCATAGACGCGACTGCGTTCTTTCACCAGTTCTTGGTACACCCGGTCTGTCGTGTTCGCTTCACTCTGGTAACCCATCGTGACCTCGAGCGATCGACGGTGCTTTCATCGACTATCGCAGCTTGCCAATTCACGTGCAGCGCTTCCCAGGCAGGCTGCGAACCCTACCTTTCGTTTTGCCGGGCCTTCATCAACGACATTGTCATCTTCTCCGAAACCCAGGAGCAGCACCTAGCCAACCCAACGAGCGTCGTGGAGGTCTCCGTGGGCGAGGCCATCTCCCGCTCGGCAAAGAAGCTTGCCGCCAACTGCAAATCGGGTTAACTAGGCACAGGGACCCCGCAGAAGAGCCTTTCTGACATCGAAGTGGCCTGTCCTGTGTGGTCTGCGCACCGACTTTGGCCTGTCGTCCAATCATCCAGACTGATGACTATTGTGCTGACCAAGCACGACGCCACAAAGAGCATCGTCGAGCAAACCAACCTGCGCACGACATGAATCGGTGGACGGATATATCACTGTCTCAGTATGGGATCCAAATTGTACCAGTCGTCTATGGGCATTCTAGGACGAGGAGGACGCCACCATAGTTGCACTCAAAAGGTCCGGCGAACCACCCGTAGTGGACGAGCTGGGGCCTTCGCTTCCAAAGCCATCACGGACCCCTCCAAGCCCTGCAGAATCATTGCCCCCATCAGTGATTCCGACGGCCTAGCAGACAACGAGGCCGTCGTCAATTTTTCGCGTCCTGGCTGTCCCCCTTCGAGGTTGCTCACAACCACCCTCTGTATTCCGCACAACACTGTCAAGGAAGTATTGGCCTTGCATCATGACGCTAAACGCTACGCGGGAGGCAATCACATCCTTCTGGATTTATCTCACCGATCCTTTGCTAGCATGACCAACGGGGTCAAGAGCTACGCCGCCCGTTGCTCGGCCTACGCGCTCAATCGAACTAGCCGCAAGAAGCCCGCCGGCGATCATGAGCCCATTAGACCCGACGGCCTATCCATGTCTATGAGTTTCGTCGTCGTTCTGCCTGCGCTCCATGTCAGCACCGGTACTTTCGGTAAGTAACTGGTAAGCCTACTTTCGACCATGACAATTGTCTGCTCACAGCCCGTGTTCCGACTTCGGGCGTACTTTGCTGATTTCGGGCAACGACCATTCCACCGCAGATGAATAGGCCAAACGCTCTGGATTGCTCCTAGACGACTGGGACATCCCGTGAATGATCATTTCCGACCTTGACCGGAAGCTAACCTCCACCATCTGGCGCAACCATAGGAAGCATCTCAGCACGCGCCTCTGCATAACTACTACACATCCGCCCCAGGAGCTCTCTGATCGCAGAAAACGTCGAGACCGCTTTTCGCCTTCACGCGTTCACCGACCCCAAGGACAGCTGGTTCAACATCATACCAAGTTCACATCGCGGAGCACCTTGGGTCAGGAGAGCTGGGCGCTCGGATAAGCAGGTTGTATGGTATTATCTAACACCCAAAAAGTCCTTTGGCTTCAAGCCCCCAGAACCGCTGGCTCCCACTGCTGCTTACACATCATTAAGTGAAATGAGTGCTCTTCGCGATCACTTGTGCGCCCGCCGACGCCCAGTTGGCCATGAACGTTGCCGCCGCCCGCAACAAAGAGCTCCACGACCGCAAGCATAAGTCAATCGAGTTCGGCAATGGAGACACAGGATTTCCCTACCTTGACTACGGATACCACCTGCCCGAAAAACCGTCAAAGAACTCTCGCGGCAACGATCAAGTGCCTCTCAGGTCCCCGACGAGATGGTCGCCTGGCGTCCGAATTGGATCTCGCCCAAGACCTCGAGCATCCGTCCCGTCATCTCTGCCGCTCACTTGTCAGCGGGCCCCTCTAGGGTTCATCGAAGGAATTTCAATGACTCATGCTTGTCCGTGGGAAACATTCATGCATCCTGCAAGCACCCGACGGTGGTCTTTTCAATATTCAGACATACATATGCACTCTGCGCCTGAAGTCGACCTCTCTACAACTGGGAAGGTCTTGCAAACAACCATCGCCGTCGGTTTGACGGGAGATATTAGCATTCCCCGACGGAGCTGGAAAGAACGCTGCCCGGAGGTATTTCGAGGCCCACGGAGAAACGAATTGCCGATCAGAAATGCGTCCCAATACGGACGGCAGCTCCCACTCAATGGCAGCTGCAGGCGCAGTAAGGCACCACCACATGAAGGCCCCAGGCCGCCTACTCAGCCACTCGCATACGATGATGATCACAAGGTGGAGTACAAGTGATTGACAGCCAACAGCCGACATATATGCACCCGTCAAACGGTCTCATCGACCCAGACTCATCTGCGAACCCTCGCCCCATTCACCTGAACAGCATCAATTTGCCCCTCGCGACCTTCAATAGCTCCGACCTGCAGCGGCTTTCTGAACACTTCGCCAATGCTACACGCCACACCTGCGACAAGCCGCTTTCGTTTGCCATAGTATTCAGCTGCCTGGAGCCGACGTTGTCGCTTTGCGAAGAGAATGGAGCGCGGGTCTGCTCAGGACGTCAATCTTGTCACCAATGGCCATTTCATTACCATGACTCGAGGAGTCTGCGTGCTCTAGGCACCCACGGAAGGGGGTTACATCGTTATGGTCTACCCTTCTCGCTGGGCTCACGTACGTTCCAGGCAGCAGGCCTTGTCGCTTGCAAGCAGACCCAATTTTGGCCAAACACCCCAGCAGCTCCTGATCGAAAATCAGCAAAATCCGGCAACAACCCTATCAGTCGTTATTACGATGGTGCGGCTTCCTCGGAGTGAACATCAGGCACAGCCCTCCAGGAGCGTTGCCCCAACACGGGCTCCAGAGTCCGATCGTGCTTCGTCCACAGAGCAACAGCCGACGCAGGCCGGAAACGACGAGCTGCCTACGAGCGAACATACCTTGCGGGACATGATGCGGAGAAGTCAAATCACGCGCATGTCGACCCACATGAACGCGCGCACTTGACACCACACGAGCAATGGCCCCAACGCCTAGATCAAGCTCCTGTACTTTCTGAACCGCATCGACATCAGAGGCATCTTTTGCGGGCTGGAAGGGAGCGGGTACAACCGTGTAATCAGGAGCCAACAATGGAGAGCATTCGATGGTCAGTGTGGATAAACAACCGAGGCAACTGTCAATTGTAACAAATCAGGAGATAATGCTTGCTGAGATAGACTAAGGACATAGGGTGCTACTTATGCAATGACATACGGACAAAGAAAACATGGTGATTGGTGTGAAGTTCGCTCCAGCGCGCCGTTCATGTGCTCTCTGTGGGCGGGGACCAGTTGCTTGCCTCGATGTGCGGGGCGATCCTGGCGGTGCTTTCGCCTAGCCCTCGAGCGACGGTCCGCGCGACACTACAAGGTCCCTACTCTGAGCTCGAAATCTAGATCTTGACTGTGTATGTGTTTCGGCTCTACGTAAACCTTCCGTGACCTGCAAGACCTTGGGCCTGACCGCGGGAGAAGACCAACGGCAAGTCCGAGAAAATGATCCTCACCTCGGCTGACCGACCGCCCGGTCCTCTCCAGGGCCCCTTGAGCTGAGCAGCGCGGTCTTGTGAGCTGATGGCTTGTCGACTTGCTGTGCTCACAGTGCGCGCTTATCGAGCCTATCAGCAGAGGGACCCTACAGCAGAGGACCATGTCATCCCCCAAACCCCCAGAATGTCTTGTGCCTCCCGCCTCGCCATCCCGCGGCCCAAGCCTCACACCTGCCATTCAAGAATCCCATGCGATAGCGCATTGCAGCAGAACCTTCTCGAGGCCACTGCGGCTTCAAAGGAACGTGCTGCCAATGTATACAGTCTGCGCACCAGGATCTCTCCTCCGACGCATGTATAGGTGAAGCGCTTGAAGAATCCGGGCTCGTTGTACGTGCAGCCTTGCATGCGAGGTTGCGTACACCCACTTCAACAGCAATGGTATGAGAGTTGCTTGGTATTCGTTGACAGCGCAGCACACGCCTCAGCCGGCCACGATATTGCCCTACAAAGGGGCAGTTGAGCTCTACCTATCCATTGAGGAGGAAGTGGTGGAAGTGGTTCCTCAACCCAAAAAGGCACATGCTCACCAAGGACCCGAGCTATAAGCCTTCTGCGGCCTCGAGCGCGTCGGCGTTGCAAGAAACCTAGCCAACCACCGTATTTCTCTAAATTGCCAGGGTAACTCGGCGATGCTATTACAATCTGGGCGATTGGTGCTCTCCGATTACTTTTGTTGCAGGCTTCAGGGTTTAGCTTGAGTTTGATTTAGCGGCGCGTGGTCAATTCGGGTCAGTTGCGGTCGATTACGATCGGTTGGGTTCAAATGGACTCGATTGGGTTCAATCGAGGTCGTTTAGATCCTATTGTTGCTCTTTCCTCTATGCTAAATCCATGTCGGCAACAGAGACTGGGTTGCTTCGATTGTTTTGTTTTGGGGGTTGTCTCGATGTCCGAACGCTCCGGCACCCCTGAAAACCTAGATTTCGGAGCGCGAGAGCAGAGCTTCCGGTATGCCCGCCGAGCTCTTGCGCGTTTAATGGCACTGATCCAGCGCCTGTTTGAACTATCTCATGCCTCTGAAATGCTAGGTTGGTGGTAATAGTGCCCAGTCCAATGCTATGGCTTTCTGTGATTCACGGGTGCCTGGCTAAGGAGCAAGTGTAGCATGTTCGCCTCCATCTGTTCCTGCTGATTATTACGGTTATCGTTCTCTTGCTGCGCTGTTGGGATGCTGCGAATGGAATGACTTCCGGTTCAATGGTGGGATCAGCTCTGCCTGGTGGTCGGGACGCCGTTAGCTCCGGGAAGGAATGGTCCAGGTGCGCTTCTGTCGAACGGATTCGTAAGACAAGAGGTAGACGCTGGGAGCTTCCCTCCTCGTTCAAACCAGAGACTAGCCGAGGGTTGCCTGTCTGTGCCTCTGGACCCACCGCACAGCGACTCTCTGTGTGAGAACGGAGGGAATCATAGGCCTAGATAGGCAGGACGTCAAGCATGTCTGCGTATGCAAGTTTTAGAGAAAGAGCCAATGAAATACGCCAATTTTGACGGTATTGAGCCCTATTAGATTCAAGACAGAAGGAACCTTGAGCAGCAAGAGGTTCGTGACGACTGCGAACAGGGTTGAAGTCTGTTGAATTCAGAGTCCGCCTTGCGCAGGCTGCACAGCCATCTCGGGAGCACCATGGAAAAGGTTGATGAGTCCTACAAGGCAGACTCGGTGACCAATGCGCAGGATAACCTCCGCTTTGGCAACATAGGTGTCGTTGACAGGCGACGCAAGGACCTCCTCGAAAACACATGAGCGTGGTGCTAGTGGATCGTGGCAGTCTGGGCTCCCACCAACAGAGACATCAACTTCACCAACTTAGATCAGGATCTTCTGCCTCCCATATCACCGACTGGTGGAATACTAAAGTCGGGAGCGAACAATGCAATGCCGACAGAACCGAGGTCGCGAATGAAGTTTACCTGTTCGAAACCCATATACAAAGCGGAGCCAGGCTGCGGGAGTCTCAGGATATTCCCGGTTCCTCCCTCTGTCTGGCGAAAGTGCATTTCGTCTGAGTCAATGATCCGGCGCCCTGTCAAGCTTACCAGGCTGACAAAAGGGTCTGAGCCACTGTCGCCATTTTCGCCGAGTGTCAATCCCTAAAGCTGCGGTCATCTCCGGAGTCACACTACGTGGATAGGCACTGCCCATCAGACAACCCGTGTTTTCTTGTCAGGCTCACAGAGTTCTTCTGTAGTGCCTCTTGGGTCCCCCTGAGAACAGCGTCGGGAATAGCACCTGACCATGCCAGTTTTGGTGAAGTCTACACATGGCTCGAAGCAGATACGGGCGTGAGCAGCACCATGCAGAGAAAGGCACCCTCGCCGAGCTATTACACGAACAAGTTGGTCTCTATGGATCCCGAAATGGACGGCAAGGATCACTCCTCCAATGGCTTAGTCGCGAATGCGATCTTTGGGGAGGGGTGCACTTGTAAGTAGCACGCGCGACAGCTCGCGTCCTCCGGACTGTTGTTGCCTTGGCCCAGAAGCATGGGTCTGCCAATGCAGCAGGAGAAGTCTGTAACTTAGATGCATTGTTCGCGATAAGCTCTAGAGCACGGACGCATGCGGTCGAATTTCTCAAGCCATGAGCTTGTCACCAGCACCGTTGGTCATCGTCACGGATCCTGGGGGCGGACCAGACGCTCGCGCAGTGGGGCCACTGAGGACAATCACCGCAGGCTCGCACTGCCCGTGGCGTCATGTTGTAATGAACTATTTCACCGCCCGACTGCGCTGACGAGGGTCTGCAGTCCGGTGACTGGGGAGCGTTCCGCCTCAAGGTGCAGGACATGGCCGTCCTTGTGTTTGTGCAGGACATAAGAACCGGGGACCCATGGCCGGCCCCACAAGGCTGGCGAATGCGAGGCCACGGTCAACTGCAGAGGCTGGCCGCGCCTACTGATTTGGGCATGCAAGCCTTGCATGGGCCTGCAACAAACAAACACAAACAACACACCTTCGAGCCATTCGGGAGCCTCCGCGTCCCGGCCACACGGCGGTGCGGCATGACAGCGTGGCAGCGGCCTGTGGAGCAGCCAGGGAAGTTTGAGACAAGGCAACCGTTGCCTCTCAGCTTCCTCGAGCACTGGCCTGCCCGTGGTCTGGCTGGCCTGGTCCTCTATCGTGATCACCTGGGATGCTGCTTATCGTCAAAGACGGCTTCTTTGGTCAGGACATGATTGCCCTGCTCGTGGTGTATGCTGCACAATACCGCCCCATGCGCTCCAAGGGACACCAGATCTGGCGCTACGCACTTTGCTGCACCACACCAACGTCTTGCTCTACGCGCCTTGCGACGCGAATGAATCCCTCCACGTAAGGATGGACGAGTCTACATGGACATGTATCGAGTCCATCTGGGTGGCACTCGAAGCATTACGAAGCTGGCCCAAGGCGCCGCCGATATGTGCTACACGACACGCAGGTAATGCCCAGCATGCTTTTGTCGGACAATGACTTGAGCGTTATGTATTCCGGCACATGGTGCGCGCACCACTCGGGCAGGCTACGCCCACCAGCTGCAGGCTGCCCACGAGCGACGTCTATGAACCCTTTAAGTTGCCTTGTGTCCGGTCGAAAACATCATGTCCATCGCCGTTCAGAACAGACAAGTCGATTTCTTCCGCATAACTTCTCCTTCAACGGTGCTCCTGCAAAAGCCAGCGGCCTACCAAGCAGGGTAAGTCCAGCCCAGCCACGTCCTACTTGCCGTCAAGAGAAGCTTCTGTGCTTCCAAAGCATGTGCAATGACACCGCACTGTCCGACCGGCACCACTGGCTGCTCCTTGCCCAGGCCTCCCTCGCCGCCTTACGAGCGCTGACATATTGCTTCAGATTAACAGCATTAGCATTCATACGGTATCCCACGAACCTACATCTAATATCTGGCTCTTTCCAGGAGCAGCGCCACCACGGAACGAGCAGAGCACCGACTGTTAACGTTCAAATTCCAGTACGAGGTTTCGTGGTGTGATACTGCCGCGTCCAGATCCTGCGCACACAGCATTCGCGCTACTCAAGTCACTAAGCCCGAGGCCGTCGACTGCGCCAGAGCGTGCAGGTTTCGTTGCTTCGTCGCACATCATGTCCGAGGGCAAGGGCATCGACAACTCGTACACGAGCTTCCTAAGGCGATCTGCAAAGATCAGCTGTTCTCTAGGCGGCTGTGGCAAGGACGTGGATGCTATCGAGAGCACTATCAGGGAGCACATCAACTCAGCCCATTCGGATATGCTGAGCACGCGCGACCTTGCGGTCTTGGTCTCCGAGTTTCGCAGGTAAGTGTGGTGTCGAGCTCCCCGGCATATGGCACTATTTCCCGCGCTTCATGCCCATGCTCTCCTGTGCCTGCGGCTTCTTGAAGACTCTAGGCCACGGCAAGCGACCTGCTCAACGTCTCACGTTCCCACGCTGACTTGGGACGGCAGACCGCAAAGCAAGAAGCCAAGTGCACCGAGCTCTCCGCAGTCCGGCATCCCATCGTTGGTTCCAGAGGTGGACAAGGACGAGTCGCCCTCCAAGGGAGACGCATCGCCTTTGAACCCCAACAAGAGGATCAAGAGCCCGAACTCTTCCGCCAGAGCTCGAGGCCGCAGCTCCAGCCCACAACGGCGATCGAGGGCCGCCAAGATCGGCCATGACGCGGACTTTAGAAGGTCGACAACGAGCGGTGGCTCCTTGTGGACACCGCAAAAGGGTGGCTCGTCGAAGAAGCCCACCAGGCCGCGGGTTGCCGAGCCGTTGCCTGCGGCTGTCGAGAAGCCCTTCAAACAGCTCGAGACTCGCCCAATCAGTCAAGATCAGCTTGTTGCAGAGGTGAAGGGCATCTACGCCGGACTGGTCATGGTTGAGTCAAAGTGCATAGAGGTTGATAATGCACAGTCATCACAGAATGATGCAAAGTTGAACAACGAACAATGGCAAGCCCTGATAGCCCTTCATCGGACACTCCTCCATGAGCATCATGACTTCTTCTTGGCCAGCCAGCATCCAGCGGCAAGCCCGGCTCTGAAGCGACTCGCCACCAAATATGGCATGCCCGCGCGCATGTGGCGCCATGGCATTCATTCATTCCTCGAACTTCTCCGGCATCGTTTGCCAGCCTCGCTCGAACACATGCTCACATTCATCTACTTGGCTTACTCAATGATGGCTCTCCTGTACGAGACCGTTCCTGCATTCGAGGACACGTGGATGGAATGTCTGGGCGATATCTCTCGCTACAGGATGGGGATAGACGACGACGACTTTCGTGATCGGGAGATCTGGACATCAGTCTCCCGCCATTGGTACTCCAGAGCAAGCGACAAGTCACCCCCGATCGGTCGCTTGTACCATCACCTGGCCATCCTGGCCAGACCAAACACCCTGCAGCAACTCTTTTACTACACAAAATCACTTTGCGTGCCAGCACCTTTCCTTTCGGCGCGAGAGTCTATCCTTACATTATTCGACCCGCTGCTCAAGAGATCAAGCAAGGCTCTCAAGCTCGCGTCGATCGATACAGAGTACGTCAAGTGTCATGGGATCTTGTTTACTGGACAATCTCGGGACGAGCTCAAGTCTACCACGGATCGGTTCATTGCTGCGCTGGATAACCACATCACCAAAATCGGCAGGCGCTGGATGGAGTTTGGCTATTACACGGCTGTGGCCAACAGCTGTGCCATCATGGGCTACGGGAAGGAGGACAATTTCATTGCGAAAGCTTTTCAGCAAAAGGCTGAACCCGCCGAAGCACAAACGCTCACACAGGAAGCCACGCCTCATGACACTGCACCGGACCCAGACGTGCAGGATGCCCTACGATTGGCAAATGGAACGGCAGGCGTTGTTCTGAAGCGGCGTGGGGACGACAGCGTCTTTCCGTTCTTCCACGTGTCCTTGGCGTTTCTCTATCATGCAGCTCAGTACAACAACGTTGTTGGTACGGTCGGAAGATCGTTCCCTTGGGAACTGGTCTGTGAGCTGCTCAATTCGATGCTTCTCTCATACCGCACCCACGAGCGCCTCCAGAGCAAGGAGTTTCCTTTGCCTGCCGGCAGGGCGACTCCACGTCCCCTTCCCGAAGATTTCGCCATGAAGGGGCTGACGTGGACAACCAACTATTACCCAGATGACTTCTTCGCGGACGACAAGATTGACGATGATGAGAAGTATTTTGAAGTCGCGTCGATGATTGATGAGAGACGTGAGCGGATCTTGTGGCTAGCGACTCGTCTCGCGAGAGACCAACATTGGCTTGCCGTCAACGAGTCGTTCACCACGTTCAGTCTTCTTGACGCCACCACAAACGACGCAGGGCACTCGTCGATAGTACCTTCCGACGTAGTCATGACGGATGCCGACAAGCCTCTGTGATTGGCACGCCAGTTATATGTGTCAGCCAGTTGCCCTGCTGTTGTCATCAATGGTCAGAGCAGATCGGCATCACTTTGCAGAACGCGGAATGGCACCACGAGTGTGCTTTCCCCACCATGGATGCGACGAATACATACGAGAGTAGGACCACGGACAAAGTGACCATGGCAGTTTGAGTACAGCGGACAGAATGACCGACTATTCATCAACGGGTCGCATGACCAACCAACAAAGCAGGCTTTGCATACGGACGGTGCCCCCGGTGTTCCTCGGCAGGGACACCCTGCAAGCCATTTCACCAAGAAATTGCCAATAGCGGAGGTTGATTGGTCCAGTCGCAAGGCTACAGGCTCCGTCCTCGCGTCGAATCAGCAGGAGACAAGGCTTTCAACCGGGCATGGTAGCCGCAAGGTTTCGGCACCATCGTGCAGCCACGATCCATTTTAGGAGCTTTCCCCAAGAGTTGCAGATCAACGGGACAAAGTGACAAGGCGACCTTGCAGGCTCGGTGTGGGCTATCATGGGGGGTTGAGACAGTCAGGCAAACCGGCTCGACCAGGCAAGCCGGCCATTCATTGTACATGTTTAAGTGTTTGTCACAGGTCTATTTAGGAGCCTTGGGATATGATCCTCTGAGGCGCCGCTTCACAGCTTCAGCGTCAATGTCATGTTTCATCAATCGATAATTATATATTAGTCAAGCAGATAACTTATTCGTTAAAAAGACTTGAGGATAATTAGACAAAGAATTGAGCTAAATGAAGCAGAAGGCTGGGTGAAACTTGGTTCGCTTTAGACCACTGCGAGTGTTGTCCTGGCTCTACAAAATCAGACCCTCGCGGGGCGTTTATATGCAAGACGCACGAGAGCGCGTCCCTCCAGGATGTATGACACTGCTGGACGGCTGCCTATCTCTTGAGAACATTCTACTGGCAAATTGCATTTCCCGTCTCAATTATAAGGACTCGGCTCTCCAGTCATCGGAAGGCGGAACAGTGGGAAGGACATGCAGCCTGTCGATGGCCACATAGTGATTCATGCTTCCACGCTTTGCTTTCTTGCCTACTGGTCATCACACTTCTGTGACTGCCAGCCAGATTTCGAGGGACACGGTCTTCCTCTGAGGCATTCCTACCGAATTGAAATCCTGCCCGACATGATATTCGGCCATTTGCGGAGCAGGATATGAGCCTGGCGGTGAGTCATCTCCTCCAAACCAGCTCGACAACTTCGTCAGGTACTCCACGCTCCTCGACTCCTTTCCACACGTACAGCTGTCTCATGAGATCTGCCCTGGCTTCCGTGTATTTGAGGTAGTACGTTTTGTGATCACTGTCGGGCACCCTGTCGCGCAGCGCCCCCATGCTGTACTCGTACTTCGGATCCTCGCCAGCGTAGACGTTGCCCCATGTTCGCTCTATCTTGTTGAGATTGAGCGAATCCACACCCTTTGGGTACACGGTGATCGAGTACCCATTACTAAGGACAGTATCGTTGCCAAATATGAATCGTTGAAGGAAGCAGTTCCTGTGGCACAAGCTCGCCTAGTCAGCATACACGTCGCTGGGAGCCCGGTGCTTCACGAGAATGATTACCCGCAAAAGTTCGTCGCCTGCGCCATGGACACTACGGGTTCGCTGTACCAGCTTTTCCAGTGGTGCAAGTTCAAAGGATCAACACCAGATTCGAAGAAGCCGCGCAGGTCGCCTAGCAAATCGTGTTGATAGCTTTATCGAGCAGGTTAGTCCCTTGTCACAAGACATCAATGCTGCGGTGGAAGGACTTACAGATTTGGCAGCACGGTCAGACGCGCCTGACTGTGGCGGTAGACACAGTCACGGATGATGATGTCTCCCAACTGAGGCGGGGACTCCTCGATGCACTGGAGGAGCTGGTCCAGCTTGCCGATCTTCCTGGCCAGATGTGCAGAGAGATATACGCCAGCACCGCCATAAGCCATGAGACCGAATCGCGTGAGGGATCCCCAGTCCTCCGTCAGCCCGCCAACATAAAGGTCTTTGTTGTCGTGATCAAGAGAGCTGAGTGCGGTAGATAAAGGCTCCAGGTGCGGAAAGAAGGTGTCGTCGTCAAGCAGAGCGAACCACTTCGTCTCTGGCCCGCTTTCGGCGAGCATCTTGCTGAGAACTGCAAAATGTGATTGAGACATGGAATGGTTGCTGGCGATGGGCGGTGCGAAGATGGCGTTGATCTTGAGGCTGTCAAACTGTGCAAGCAGGTCGGCGACTTCGTCCTCATGCCCGATGTAGTCTTCAATCACCACGACGAGGAGTGTGCCGCGGTCAGAGGCCCAATGAGCAATCGGGGCGACGCTCCGACTGAGACGAACCAAAGACGTGGCCATACCGAATGCCAGGTGTTTGTATTTGGCTGATCGTGGGTATGCATTTTCGAATGGTAGGAGAATCGCATCGCACGGCTCTATCTGCAGAGACCCGGGTTGATCTAGCCTTGCCTCGATGGGCTCTACAATGAGCCGTGGCGCAACCTTTGTAACATTACTTCTGTCGACAGGTAGATCGCGAGAAAGCTGGACACAACTTTGTATGTATTTGATTGTTGAGGAGAGCCTGATGTGTCCCCCTACGTCGGCTCGACGCACAAATCCGAGAGTTGCAAGATCTGTCTTTCCTACGTCCGACTCACTCGCCGAAAGGAGTGTAAGCCCGCCTGTTCCACGGTACGTCACCCACAGGCGGCACAGAATGAGTAACAAGACGATAATGCCCCCGATGCGGGTGACGTGCATGACGTGCATTTCTTGTATTCTTGGTGGGATAAGTCTTGAGTTCAATCGTGTTCAGCGAACACGAGTCAAACTGTAGTGCAATAGCAGGCCCATGGTAGATGAGTTACCAGCTAGTCCATTTGCTTGGTCAGATGCTCAAACCAAGCATCACGTGCTGACATCAACTAGCAAGCATCGTGGCTCATGGCTGAGTTAGGAGCCTGAGGAGTCTGTTTGTTTCTGTAATCTCTGCCGGCTAACGGCACCGGCATTCACTTCTACACGTTTAAGAAATGCTCAAAACGATGCGCTGCGGACGGAGTCCCCGTCTCCTCGTTTCACTAAGCTAGATTATCTCCAACCAAGCCGCATTCCTCTCTTACCATGGGAATTTTACGTGTGGCAAAAGCTCCTGCATTGCTATGTTGGCCCAAGCGCCGCTGTCTAGCTCTGTTTGTGGTGCAAGGTTTAGTCCATAGTTTGTGGAGTGCCTTTCAACCCCGACAATGTGTTGGGCACTGAAGGATTTCAATGGAAAGACTTTGAAGAAGTAGCATAATAAGAGCCTAAGTATGATAACAAAGAATCTAACTAGTAGAAAGAAATCATTCTGGCCCAGTATCACACGATTCGCTCTTCCTTGATAGCCATCTCGACTGTGATTATGGAGCTTCGTTTGCGACATGCCTGGTGCCGGTTTCTCGAACCATGCCCAATGGGAAGACCGTAGCGACTTCATGTAGACCTAATAAGAGTCTAAAGCTCGGTGCTATAAGCGCCCAGTGTTAGGAAGTTGGCTGGTAAAAATGTGTTACCCTAGATATGTGGTCCCAGATCGACACTGCATAAAACATCACCGTCAATATTGCTCGCACGCCTAACACAACCCTAAGCTATTACGTACAAGGACAGCTCGACTTTCTACCTCTACGTATGTTTTGGCTTGGATGAACTCAACTAAGTCCCTTTCTATCCGCCTTCACATCTACATTATCGCACTGAAGATTCAGCACGGCGGGCTTTAATCCTTCATTCATTAGCAGAGAAGTGCCCCTGTGAGTCCTCACCCTTTTGCGCGCGAAGAAACACATAGGTCAAATTACTTCAGACGCTGAGGAGCATCCTGCACCAGCAGGACCAGTCAATATCCATTTGCCCGGAGCCGCCAACGTTGTGAATCAATAAATTTCGTGAATACTTCGGCCTCCTGCCGGACGATTGCCGCATGGCCCGTCAGGAACATTTGGGCCTCGGGACCAGCAAGAACTTGGCCGAGTGCACGGATGCGCGCAGAGGGCACTCTGTGATGCAGCTCTGACACAAGCGCCCGGCGCATGATCGATTCGAAAGGGTGGTACACAGTTGCGATCGTTAGGGCCGCCTGCAATAGCTCGTCGTCTTTGATTGGCTTGCTGTGCTCCCTCGTTACCAAACCCTGTCTTGTATCGATCACCCGATTTAGACTGAAAGAGATTGCGGCGGCATCCAGGTAACACTTCTCCACGTCCCTGCCTCGGAACTCGCCCACATACCATTGTAATGCTGTAAGCGATTGATTGCGCAACCATATACTAGAGAGCTTCTCGTTCATGCCGTGCGCGCTCCATGCACGCCTGACAGCTTGGATTTTAGTATCCTGTGCCGAGACCAGGACTCTGTCCTGAACCCAATCGGCCAGTCGGTAGATCCAGTTTTGCGTCCACGACTGCATGACCTCTGCGACTAGTCGAGCCTTCGGCGCCGCGAACTTGGAGATGGATGCTCCGTATTCCTTGGCCAACCATTCGGCAATCGATCGATTGTGGGAAACAGCGTGCTCAAAGACAGTCTGTCCAAGAAGATCTTTGGCGAGCGGGTCTGCACCGAGTGTCAAAAGACATTCGACAATGTCTCTGTTGCCAGACTTGACTGCAATGTGAAGTGCTGTGCCACCCACGCCGAGAGCGTTGATGTCAAGCTTAGCTTCCGTGACGAGGAACTCGATGGTTGCTTTCCTCCTTTCAGCAACCTCGGACACTACAGCGTATCCGATGAGCAGTCTCCCAGCGAGGTCGGCGTTTGGAAGGGTCCTGACTTCGGAAATCAGACGGAGGATATCCAAGAATCCTCGAGATATGGCGCTGGCAGCGAGAAGCAACCCATTGTGGCGGGTGGGCGCCCCCCTTTCTAGCAGGTACTGCACCGCCTCTTGGCGACCACAGTTGACAGCCGTGAGAATTGGCAATGGCCGTAGCGTTGGAGATACAATGTTAAC